TCTAACGGGCAGAAGGGAAACAAGGGAATGGGGCAACGGCAACGGCAAAGGCAAAGGGTCCAAATCCAAATCCAAATGTGTCTGCAAAGTTTTTTTCCTGCAGGTGCCACGTCTTTTGTGTGTGCGTCTCTCCGCCACAGATTTTCAAGCGAGGACAGCTCCGCGGCGACAGTTCATCAACTTGACTTGTGATTTCCGGTTTCTCATTCTCGTTCCCATTTTATTCCCTCTACTCGGTTAGGTTACTTACTTTAAAAGCGGATTAGGCGGAGACAAACGCCCACGGTGGCATCAGCATATCCACATCCACATCCACATCCTCTTCCACATCCAAGTCGAGGTGAAGGGCTTAGTTAGCATGTCTGAGATCGCTGATGTGGGTTCCCAACTACAAGCCGAAAGAATGTCAAGGTGGAATTAAGTCAATGATGTGAGCAACTACGAGTCGGGGTGCCTATGATAAATGTTTTTTGGAGGAAAGCTATTTTCAAAGCGCTGAAAGGAGTGGGAGTGCTAAAAAACTAGAGAATAGTAACATTTTAAATGCAAAAAATTTATAATAAAAAATCTTTAAAATATTTAAATTACTTTAAGCAGTAAGATTATTTCAATCAGTTATTTGCAAAATATGCAATAAATATGATACTAAAATTTTCTGTATGGCAAACCTTTGAAATGAAACTAAACAATTACCCTTATCTGCCTTTTTCAAACTCCAAAACATTTCTAAAACATTTTCTATGCTACCATAGGACAAAAAACAAAAAAAAAATTCTTGTGATATTTTTTATTTTTCCATCTCATCCAAGCCGAAGCTATTCAACATCTGGCGCAGCTTGTTTGGAATTCACACATCGACGGCGGCGCTTAGAAGGCAATTCGCTCCAACCACTTACCGCCTTAACCCCCACCAAACGCAACCACCTGAGCCACCGAGGATGTGCCAAAAAATCCCAACCACTTCAACCTGAGGCTATTGGGCTGCCACATTCCACCGATTCTACCACTTCAAACCGCCGAAACCCACTCCCAATTTTCTCGCTTTTGCGGCAGTGCAAAAACAATTTTTCGAGAGTAGAAAAAATAAAGCGAAAATGTTTTAACGCTTGGCAGCATAATGACAACAAACAAATCGCTTCATTTAACAATAAATAGCTGCCAGCGACGACGTTTAAAAAACAAACACACAAAATGAAAACAATTCGATGCCCGAGTGGCGTTCGCAAGAAGAAATGCTCAACTGAAAAAATAATCGCTTACTGAACACGGCACATCGTCATCATTTTCATCATTATCCTCATCAGCACATCGCATTGGCATGTGCCACGCCCCCTTTTTCCTCCGATCGAAAAGTCAAGGCAGCTGGGCACTTGTTGCGGAGTTTGTCACGTCGGCTGGAAAGAAAAAAAGGGGGTTATAGAACAAAAATAAATATATATTGGATCGGAGAGATGATGATCACACGAGCGTGCCTATTTGGCAATTAGATTGCGATGCATCGTGTTAATTATTCCCGGGTAATTGCTGCACCAGTTGGGCGTGTCAACGCATGGACCCACTTAGCCGCAATTGTTCCTGGTATTTTTTCCACATGGAAATGGAGCCAAATTAACAATAGAGCGGCGTGCTCAAGGCGGAAAGTAATAATTGCCGCGATAACGATCCGCAGTTCGTGGCGAAGATGTTGCAGTAATGGCCCAGCAACATGCAGAATGGATTTAGGTGAGAAAGGGCTGTCCTTATTTAAATAAAACAGGGATTAGATCAGTTGAGTGGATCTCGTAATTATTGGGCCACCGTTTTACTTATTAACTTTGTGGGCTTTAAATGTAGTTGCTTCAGGCTAACATTTCGAAAACAATTACTTTTAAGAAGTTTTTAACATGATCAAATTTGAATACTTACTTAAGACTAATAATGCTTATTATTTATAATCTTGTTTTCAAACAGTGAAGATTCAAATGATATAAGTTTTCCTTTTATTATGACCAAGTTTGGATAAATTTTCCATATCTTAGAACATCAAATATTTATTCTGCTATGACATAAATATAGGTTGCATATATTCTTTTATATTTTTTTTATATATAATATACTGTCTTATATTTCGGTCTTTGTTTTGCAATACATAATACTAAAGAAATGTAAAATGAGTGACATTCACTTCACCGCCACTTCCTTAGAAAACATACAACCAGGGCCGGCGGAAGGTGTATACCGGGTGTTGAGCACTCCACACGCCAAATCTTAGCGGGTGTGGAATTCAACACCCCAAAATGCTTGACTTGTAGAAAAAAATTTATTTACATCCATTATTATCAGTTGAATGTATGATTCAAAACTGTTTCTCCGGCCCTGCATATAGAGTATATCGAAGAAAAACGAAGAGAAATCCCGCCTTTACCACGGCCCAATTAAATCAGTTTCTATTTAAATAGATAGATAGTAACTCTCCCAAATACTTCCCAAGTTAAGCATTTTCCAACTTAATGTTTTTACATTTTTTATAATTATGAGATTAAATAATTATGAGATTATCATAAATAAATCTTTTCAGATTGGTACTTACTCAGTTAGCTCCTTGATCTGCACTGCAATCTTTCGTCTTCTTGAAGTAAGATAATCACCGCAACCACTTTATTCGCAACATTAACACTTAACACTTTACCCTGAAATTAAATAAGAAAAAAAATAATAATAAATAATTTGTTACAAATAATAATAGTTAGAATTATTTTGTTAGTAAAAAAGGTATTTACCTCTTTGGGTTTTTTATTCACTGCATCTTGAAGTTCACTCCAAGCAGAACGGAATAGTCATCACTGTAATGAAAAGAAGCATTCCAAAATATTAGTTAAATTATTTTATACAAATCGGTTGTTTAAAAAATACATACCCCAATGAGGTGATGCACTGCATCCTGGAGTGGAGTTCGATAGAAGATCACGCCATTCATAATTGATCCTCCAGCCTGTTGTCCAGTCCATTTATGTGGTGTCAGCATACTATATATCTCCGGTAACCGCATTCTTACAACTATTCTTACTATATATATTTATATTATATGTCCCTACTTGTTTACAATTATTAATTGTGTTTGATTTTCACGTACTTCAAGTTCAATATTTGATCAAATTTACCTTTAAAATTTCTTTCATGTTTTTGAAAACTTTCAGATCTTTATCTGTTGCTTTTAGTTTTTTGTCAAAATATTTATGATTTCTTAAAATATATAACTTAATTATTTATTGTCTAAAGGATGTACTCACTGCGTAATAACCTTGGTGCAGAGCATCCTGATGTCGATCTTCAAGTTACAAGTTGGATGGTGTCACCAATTATTTTCTGCAATCAGCCAAATACACAACCAAATACCTGAAAAAAAAAATATAAATATAAAAAAAATTGAATTAATTAATTGCATTTTTTTTACAAAAGCCACGTCATCACATAATTTAAAAAAAACTGCAACTCACCTTTTCAGGTTTGGATGCCCTGCATCCTGGAGTCCACCTCATGCAGGAAGGGATCGGGCACCTTTAAGTTCATGCCAAGTCAGGTCATGATGCAGTGCATCCTAGGAGGAGTCGACCCATGATGCACTGCATCCGGGAGTGGACTCCAGTAGGAGGAGTCGACCCAAGATGCACTGCATCCGGGAGTGGACTCCAGTAGGAGGAGTTGGCCAGATACTCTCTCCCACTCTGGAACCACGTCACTAACACACACGCACACACACACACTTCCAGAGACCGGAAAAATTTTCTTAGAGAAACTGCCGGTCATCCCGGAGAACTGAGAAATTGGCCAAAATCAAGGGGTATCCCACTACGAATCAGCCAGAACCACTTGGGAATTATATGTGCAAAAAAACGAAAAAAATAATTAATTATCATTGTCGCTGACGTGGCCATATTAATTTAATTAACATTTAGTTAACATTACATTTACATTATATTAAATTAACATTACTTTAACATTAAATTAACATTATATTAATATTAAATGGACTTTAATTAACATTTTACATTTAAAATAGTTTTTTTTACCTGTTGCATTTTGATTGATTGGTGTTGTTGTTTTATTAAAATAGCTTTTAAAAAATATATTCTGTTCAATTCAGGATCCATCATATATCGTGCCACAAACAACTTCATTTGCGACCACCGTGGAAAGCACCGTGGATATTGAAAATTTGTGAGGTCATCACCCCACTCAAAACTGTTTCTCCGGCCCTGCATACAACAGATTATGATTCAAGTTCCCATCTCTCATTTAAATGTTTTCCCCAACCGACTTCCCTTAGCCCCAGTAGAAACTTCCTTGGCCTCCCGAAAACGTGGCTAAAACCAGCAAATTGAACTTGAGGTCGAAACATGCAACTTCCTTCCTTGGTTGGGGCCACTTCCTTGGCTTATCCTGACTGACCCTCCGCCACTGAAGCGAGGACACTGGCCGTGTGGCATGCCACATTGCCATTTTCCAGGGACATTTTGAGGCTAATTAAATCCACGGCGAACAGAGAAAAAAAGCGAATGCTAAACGCTTTCCGGCATTGACATTTTTTCGCGAGTTGAGTCGAGAGAAAAATATTAAGCATACGACATGTCCAACCGGCCAAGCAATGAGATTTATGTTATGGCTGCCTTTTTACTTTTTCCACCAACCGCCACACAATTAAAAGTGCTGCAGGAAATGTTAACGCCGCGATATTTATGACACTTTAAAGGCGGCTTTAACCGAGTCCTTTTCTGAGCGGTTTTAACTCCCAAGGACTTTGGCAATTAAAAATGCGGCGCTGGCTTATCGCACGCGCCACGACAAGTGTTGTGTTCTCCTCCGTTGGTTGGAAAACTTTTCCAGCAATTTCTACGCCCCCGAGTCGCTGGAAAAAGGTGTCGAAAGTTTCGGCGCAAGTTTTCGCCGCAGGACTTGTAATCCTGCGCCAGCGAGTTGGCTTTAATCCCGCTTGGCTCGCCGTTATTGCGCCTGATAAGAAGTAAGTGTTCAACAAAATTTATTTGGTGCGGTGTTGAGGACAAGGCAATTAGCGAGCTAATCAAATAATCCGCTGCTAATTGTTGAAAGGAGTTGGCGTTGCGGAAGGTTCTTTAATTTCATCTTGTAGCCACTGTTTCTCATCCTTCCAACATCTCACTTTTAGCCAGCTTCTGGGGTTCCTTCCTCAGGATGTAGAACAAAACGAAAACCATCTCTATCATTGTCATCAGCTGCAGTCCAAAGATCAGGATCATTTTCAGGTGAATTGGAGCGTAGTCCTTTACAGCCAACATTTCTGGTGAAGTCAGGAGCTCCTTGATATTTTTCGCGGTGCCACAAAAACAGGTTATATAATGCAGCAAATACGGCATCACAAAGAGGCACTTGAAGTTGCGCTGCTGGTGGGTTGTAAACATCTTCGATGGCATCAATATAATCAGCGTTGTGCACAGGGTGTAGATATTGGCCTCAATAAAGGCCCAAGTAATGCTGGAAGTATGCAGCCTTAAACTAGAATTACCCGATCCCAGGTAAACCCGAGGACAAAGCTGCATTCCCCAGGCGGCGAACATCAAGCCAAGATAAGTTCCAACGGATCCCATTATTTTTCAGTAAAATATAAGGTTTTCTTTAGGTTTTTCAGGTTACTCGAATTCCGGGTTGTAGTTTTTGACGTGAAAAGCGTTGCAAGTCTTTTTATTTTCAAATCTTAATATCTTCAAAGATCGAAAAATGTATTTGTACTAATGGAACTGATAATTTGTTATCTTTAATAATAAAATTATACGAATTTAAAGACAACTAACATGATGCTCATGAATATTAAAGGAAAAGATAAATTTCGCGATTTTAATATTTTGAAGATAAAGTATTAAAATTGAAAACGAACTTAAGTCATCAAAATAAATTATTCAAACAATGATAAGGAGTTATAAGATTTCATTTTAGAGTCTTGTAAGTTTCTGTTACCTTCCTGATTAATGGAAAGGCTGTAAATTCTGCACCCTTCTCCGTTGGGCAGTCAAAAGCTGAAAAGATTGAATGCTGCTGAAAGTTTAGCATTTTCCACCGATATTTCACGCAGCCATTAACATTTTTGCGAAATATTTTGCGGCCACCCCTGTAGTTGCTTGATTCACCATTTTCCCGGTTGGAAATCCACTTTGATGCGCCTTTCATGTCCAGGCCACTTGCCACTTGCCACTTAAGGAATCCCCACACCATTTGCGGCACAGGACACACGTTGACGCACCTCATGCGGTGACAACGAGCGAGTCGTGTTCCTCTAATACCCGCGCAAAATATGACCAAAGCCCAGGACGAAGTCCTTTAAGCACTCGCCACAGGACATAAAAAACAAAAGACAAAAAAAAAACGAAAACCAAAACTGAAACTGAAACAAAAACTCAAAGCGAGGCCTAAACAAAATGTTCGCACTAAGCGCCACAAGTCAAACAGAAGACAGCGAACAGAAAGCGGGCTGAAATCTCCTCGAGCTCGAGGGAAATTTATGTGCCTCGGGGCGGTAACTTCATTATGCAATGACCTACAATGAAATGGGCTGCCGTTGCACAAAATTTATGTGCAAAGTTGAGAGACAGCCTAAGTACCAAGTGCTCGCCTGCCCAGACAACTCGAACAACTCGAACAGCTCGAAGTCTTCGCCCTTTTCTGTTTTTTTTTTTTTTTTTTTTTGTATATTTTCACCCGGCCCGAAATAGTTTTTTATAGCTGATAAAACAGTTCCCGAGTTGGCCTATTCATTGAGCACCATGGGCAGTCGTCGCGATAAGCTTAGCCTAATCAGTCAGTAATTCTTCGGGTCTCGACAGTTTCCCGGTGGCTTTCCTATAGAGCGGTATGTTGGTTAAAATTCTAGTAGCTGCAGGACTACTTAGTCTGGTTTGGTGTGAGGAACAAGTCAGATATGATAACTATAGAGTTTACAATGTGAGGATTGATGATCTGGAGCAGTATAAGCTGCTCAATGCTCAGGAGAAAGCCTTGAAGGTGGGTTAACTTTATTGTATTTAATATAATATTTATAAATTAAATTATTATTTTTACAGCTCAGCAGTTGGCGCGAGGCTCGTCATTTGGGTGAAACCTCGGACATAATGCTACCACCAGAATATCAGGTCACCTTTGAAAACCTCTTAACAACTCACAACTTCACCTATAACTTAAAAATCGAGAATGTCCAAACCCACATCGATGCCCAAAGACCCAAACAGCGAATTTCCTCCATGGAGTGGACTCAGTATCACACTCTTGAGGAAATCTACGCCTGGCTAGATTTAATTGAAGATCGTTATCCGGATATAGTGACTCCATTTACCATTGGAAATTCCTATGAGGGAAGGCCTATTCGGGGTATTAAAATCTCCTATAAAGAGGGAAATCCCGCGGTTTTCATAGAGTCCAACATTCATGCCCGCGAGTGGATTACCTCATCGACGATCACGTACTTCATCGATGAGTTACTGGTTCCCCGGAATCCTGCAGTTAGGGATATAGCCCAGAATGTGGATTGGTACATTATCCCCGTTCTGAATGTGGATGGTTTCACTTATTCTCACGAACATGTAAGTAGATCTACTTTTAGTAAGTATTGAATGAAAGTAAATATAATATATGAATGGAATTTAAAGTGCCGCCGACGATTTGCGATTAGATTGACGATCAGATCAAATACGTGCCGATATTATTATAGCGACGTCTATCTTATCGACTACTACTAAGTAGTGATCAATTAACTCTATTAATGACCCATAATCTATTTTCTTACGACTGATAGGAACGCCTTTGGCGAAAGTCGCGTTTGCCATCGGATCCCACGGGGGAGTGCATTGGAACCGATCTTAATCGCAATTTTGATTATCTGTGGATGCGTAAGTATAAACCAATACATAATTACGCTTTTCTAATTGCGCTAGCAGTTTTTTGTTTTTAAAGAAATCTTAAAATTATAAAAGTTTATTTTTTTAGTGGCTGGTGCCGAATCGGATCCTTGTTCGGAGATTTATGCTGGACCTTCGGCAGAATCTGATCCCGAGATTTACCAGCTGACTGCCTACATAAACAACTCCATTCCAGATGGCAGCATCAAGATCTACATATCTCTGCATTCCTATGGGCAGTACGTACTCTCCCCTTGGGGACACACCGCTCTTGAGTTCCCCGAACACTATCCCCAAATGATGCACGTGGCCAAGGGATTTTCCGATGCTCTGTACAGAAGATATGGCACCGTATTTACATATGGATCCAGTGCCACAACATTATGTAGGTTGAAAGGTTTTCTAATTTAGAATTCTGTATCTTGATAAATTACTTTTTCTAGATGAAGTATCTGGTTCCGGGAAGGAATGGGCCTACGCGGTGAAAAATATTAAAATACCCTATACCATTGAGCTGCGTGATAAGGGAAAGCTGGGTTTTTTGATTCCACCGGAGGATATTATTCCAGTGGCCCGCGAGGTAACCGAAGGATTTGTTGGTATGATAGCCGCAGCCCGAGAAATTGATATCTTATAGTTCTTCAAGATCTTAAACATTTACTAATGCCAAATAAAATCATTTATATTTTTACTTGCGGAAAATGTTTAACCGTATCATTAGTATCTTAAGTAGGAATACATTAAACAAAACCTTTAATTTCGTTTCACAATCCAAGAGGAACTTTAAGAATCCTTTATAAAAATATAGTATGTATTAAGGTTATTTCAATTTTGAAAAAAGATGCGTATATCCTTTTTTCAGAATTTTGTATTATTCGCACAGAATTTAACCCCCTTTGAATGGAATTTGCTCCCCATTTGGTGGCGCCACTGCGTCGGAAGCTTTTGCTCCGCCCCAAAAACGAGCAGGTTGCCGAAGCTTCCAATCAGCGACGGCGCATCGCATTTGGGGAAAAGCGGGGAAGTCGGGAAAGTGGGGAATGTGGGAAAAGCGAGGGCTGCCGAACCGAGCACATTGCGATGAAAAAGAAAGGAAAATCCCGGCTGCATTCAGTGCTTTCTTTGACTTTTTTTCGGTCTGAATTTCCACTGCGCTCCTCGCAGCTAAAAGTGTTGGGTATTTTCTTTTTTTTTTTTTTTTTGATTTGGGCAGAGAGTCTCCGCCTCTTTTCAACGCGCGCGCAGCATCCTGTTGGACAAGGACGAGGCTGCTCCACCGTTGGATGCCCATCCACATCGGTTTACGTATATATACTCCATTCCGCTCCTACTCGTATGTGAGTGTGAAAAACAATCGCAACGAATGGCAAGCGACCAGCGAAAATCTTCAGATTGCCGCAATATGGCGTCAGTCTTCCCATTACATAAGCTTTATGTAAGGACGGATATATACAGGATATACGGGGAGCCTAGTCCTTTTTGGTCTTGTTTTTGTGTACGCTTGCACTTATTTTTTTCAATTTGTCTAATGAAATTGCGTTTTCCACTTGCGTCGCTGGCATCCAAAAATAAAAAGAAAATGACAGCAAGAAAGGGAAATAAAATGGCACGAAAAATCTTGGAAAATTCGAGAAAATATAACGTTGACACTTTTTGCACTGGCTCCTTGACTGCGGTGTCCTGTGTGTGCCAGTGTGTCCTCATCCCATCCGCTTGTGTCCTGTGTCCCATGTCCTGTGTGTCCTGTGTCCTGTGTGTCTGCCTTTTCACTCACTGTTCTCTCTGCATATAAATTGAAATTTACTAACCTCGCCGTCTCCTCTTCTGCTGTTGTCAGTTGCACCTTTATGACAATTTTCCTGCCACTGCCACAGCCACTTCTTTTTCCCAGAGTTTTCTTCATTTTTTTTAGGTGTGTGTTGCGCATATTGCGGTGATGAATTTTTCTCTTTGAGTTATATGGAGGGAACGCTACAGATCTGAGGGAAATGGCAGCCCAACTGAAGCTGAACCGGTAGCAATAAAAACTTACTTAGCCAAATTGCAGTGAGCTAGAAGTTATGGCTTTTAAGCAGGGACTTACAATTTGTTTAATTGAATTGCCGGAATAAGATTTACTGCCTTTAAAATACTTGAGATTTGTGTTTGTTCTCAAAGTATAAATGAATAACTTATCACTGTTTCTTTTACCTCCTAACTACCGATTTTATGATCTTAGGAAAATTATCCAAATTACAACACCATTGATAAATCACTAAAAATACTTCCTTTTTTAATATTCTGACAACCAATTAAAAAATGTAGAAGCATGCAAACTTTTTTCATTGAAGCTAATAACCCTAATTGCATTTATAAAAAATAAATGCGGTGCAGAAAAACCCAGTGACTCATTCAGTGCGCCCACAAACTCCCCGCTGAATAACAATTATTTATCCAAACACCACCTCTAATTTGATAATTCAATTATGCAATTCAATTCCCCCGACAGCCAATCAAGAAATCAAATCAAAGTGGATTGATTTCGGTCACATGGAGTCGAGCCCCAAAAAAATGGCTTTAATTGCTGCCAAGGCAATAAACTTCAACGGCAATTGACGCTTGACACTTTGAGCGCTTGAGAACCAGCTGCTGTGCCATGGAGCTCTTTGGAAAAGAAAGGAAATATATATCTATATATGAGGTCTTTTGGTCTGGGCATTTGAGCAGGGAAAGTATGACGACGGTGCTTGGATATTCCCAACGCGCGTCATGAAGCTGCGGCGTCTGCGCCTTTTTTGGACGTTTGGCAATGCGATGATGGGATCGCAGTGGAATCGCTTTGGAATCGCATCGAATGAAGCTAAGATGATCGCATAGTGCTGCTGCCATGGCGCTCGAATGGAGATGGAGATGGGGATACAGATGGAGGATCCCCGGTAAGTACGCCTACCAGGAGTTATGACAGTCAGCGGAGCTGCGATCCTTAAATGGACGAGCGGAGAATCCGTTTATGGAGCGACGACACTGAGACGCAGACGCTGGCGTGTTGACAATGATGTTGCATGATTGGTGTTTTGTGCTCGTTTCGCTGGAAAGCCAAGGGTTCCCGTTTTCCCCAGAATCCAGAGAAAACCGGGGAGACAAGAAGGCTCTCTTCGCATCGCATTGCGTCGTCGCCTTGAGTCTTCGGTCTCCAGTCTTCAGTCGCCTGTGCTGCCTTATATGCAGCGTCTAGACAGGCTGGAAAAAATCACAGCAGAATCAGAATCCGAATCAGAATCATTCAGGCAATGCCAAGTTTGGCGCGGAGGCCTTCCTTCAATGATTGCCCCCATGAATGAATGAATCCGCGAGAGGCCGCAGTCGCCGGGCCGAGCAATTAGTATGCGCAGATTGCGATCACTCGGAAGTAATGCTAATTTCTGTTGTCTACCCGGTTACCCAAATGGAAATACAAGGGTACGACTCGCAGGACTGGGTATTGCCGTTCCCACTGGGGCATATATGATCGCTCTTTACACTTATCCATTCCGTTTTACTACACAACTTGTTAATTATTTTTAGATATTATATATACTTTTATAATGAAAAAACATAAAATATAGAACCAATTGAAATGTTATTAAAGCTAAAAGATCAAAAGAAGTTTTTAAAATTTATGGCAATGAAAAATTTTTTTGTATCCGAAAAATAGTAATAAAAATATTTTATAAAAATGTTTCTTTTCTTTTAGAGCTCTGATATTTCTACCAACACAACAACTTTGTGTATCACGCACATTCCATTATTTTAATATAAAATCTTCCTAATTTATTTTAATACTGATACTTTATTTTGTTGATTAAAGGGTATTAATGGATTATTTTCCCTTCAATATTTTTCTTCCCTAGGTTTACTTTGCCCAGTTTTAGTCCAGCTTCCTTCTCGAATCCTTTTACTTCTACCAGCCGCTGGGCTAGTTTTTCTAAGGTCCCAGATACTCGACCGAAAAGGCCTGATGCATTTGCCCAGGAGATGTCATTAACATTAGACGGAGCAGGTGAATGAATGCAGCTGACAGATGGAGACAGTTGTGGGATGGAAGAAAAACTGGAGGATCTGGATGGAGTTGCAGGCGGGGAGAACTCCATTATGCAGGCAGCTTGTCTGTGCCATTAAGAGCGTTAACAGGAGGACATTAGTATCCTGTAGGCAACACCTGACGCAGCGGCAACTTCGGCAAGACGAGGTCAACTTCAGACAAAGACATGCAAATGCGATTTGGCCGCGGAAAATGGGGGAATGGGGAATGGGAAATGGGGAGCAGGGAAAGCCGGAGCCACTTGGGTTGCCTTGGAAAATAAGAAAACAACTTTTCTGCGCTAAGCAGATGAAGGACATTTGCATATACGCCTTGGACGGCAAGGCAGGGACCTCACGCAGGCAGCGAAATCAAAAGCTTTTTAAAGGATATTCTCTATAATTTCACGCTTAAAAAGGCGCGCAGGCCAAGTCCGAGTATCCTGGAGCCAGGATGTTTGCTTAGCGGCCCGGGGAAATGGAAAAATGAGGAAGGTATGGTACTGCACACCCCATTGCGAGAGCAGCCGTTGCCTTACCCACGTGCCAAGCGGCTTAAAAGGAAGGAAAGGAAGCCCGGACTCGTCCTTCGTCCTGGGACATTTGCATGCGACTTTTAAATCAATTATTGTTAAATATTTATTTCTTGGCAGTTCATTTCGACGGCAGGCGTGCAGGAATTGTCTGTCTGTCGGTGGGCACATTATGCTAACATAAATTACATGATTGATTTCATTCGAAGGGCAACTGTGGAATACGGCTCACACACTTTTATCCTGGCAAAACAATAGGGAAAAAAGTAAACAACATGCAAATTCACTGGCGGTTTTGGCTTGATTAAAAAGCTTAGAAATTAGCATATCATTTGTGCAGCTATTTGTTGGCATTTAAAGGAATATTGATTGGCTGCAAGGGGATGATTCGAATTTATATTTGGGGCAATATTATTAATAAAATTCAGTGGATCTTATATCAGGTAAGAAGTATATATGCGGGCACTTTAATATAATGTTTTTAATTTAGATTATTTTCTGGGTATAGAAGTTTTTTTTATTATTTACTGACTTAATTTTTCTTTCCTTTTTCCCAGAAAGTTACTTTTGTACCGCACTCACTTAGGACCTGAAACTTTTGCAGAAGCTGCCGACAACTTTTACCCAACTATATATTTAGCTACCTTGGCTCTTTATTTATTTGTATTTTTTTCGTATTTTATTTTTTACGCTCCTTGAATGTTGTTCCTCTTGGAGGCAGCATCGTGTGTTTTGCTCACTGGCGCGTTGACATCGCCATCAAAATGCTTTGACGTGGTTTTTGATTGACAGGAAACTCATAAATAATTCATGTCATTAAATCATGTTACATTTTTTCTTCTCTCTCTTGGACGAGCTCCTCTGGTTTCGGTCCTCTTATTCTGCAGCAGCAGTTCCACCAGCATCTTCAGGAGGACCGGCCATTGAAACGAGTTTCTCCAAGTGGAGTGGCGGACATTTGGGCAGCTCTTCTCCGATTCTCCGCTGCCCCACCTCCACCTCCATCACTCCACCATGCAGTTCTCTAGCAATTAAATGTCAAAAACTGTTTCTTCTCTCGCCTTCCTCGTCCGATGTAACTCAATTCAGCTCTCTGATTTCTTTTTTCCGCGATTTTTCCTTCGTTGCTTTTTTTTGAATATTTTCCTGCTGCGGAAAACTTGAAGAAAATAAGTTTTCAATGAATATAATTATGCAAAGCAGCCGGCAAGTCGCACTCCACTTGGCTGGACCTTAAGAGGCTCTGCAAGAAGGACATTAAAATTATATAAAAGCAGCTTGGCGAAATTTAAATATTTTAGCCTGTCCTTCACCATTTCCACGTTGTCATAATATTTTATTATTGCTTGTTTTAATTCCTTGTTTCATCATTTCACAATTTTTGCTGTTTTATTTTCGTTTCTTCTTTCATCTTTTTTTTCCGCCTCGTCAATTGTCCTTCAAGCGAAAAGTTTTTCATTTTTATCAAAAGATTTCTTTCGCTGCCGCTGGTTTTAATGAAATTTTGTCGCTGTCCTGTAAAGGATTGGTCGAAGCCAAAAAATTTGCATAATTTTTTGTCAGCCATTTTTAATTTCTGATTTGCCGCACTTGAGTGGATGTCCTTAAAAAGTTTTCTTGGGATTTTTTTTCTTTCGTGATTCTTTTTAATTAAAGAGCTTCTGAATCCCAAGTTGATTATTTTAAGATCTTTAAAAAAGGCCATGAATTATATATGGATTTGTAAAGTAATACATAATGTAGTTCCTTAAAGTTCATGAAGTCACTTTTAATAGTCAAGATTTTCGTTCTTTTAATTTAAATGATATAAGACATAAGATCTCATCTTATGCATTTTCATTTTTGATAAGTCATTCTCATTAATACCAAGTGGTCTTATTAAACATCATTAGACTTATCTAGGAACAGCTTCTTGGGTGGAGTACCAGTTGGTAGGATCTTCTGGCTGGTGTGAATCTGGCAAATCATTTTAATTGCTTTGCCGCACCCGGGCAACATCCCCAAGAGCCCCCGGAATCCGGGGCTTAGCCTTTGTTGTTGGCGATTGTGTGCGGCGATAATAATTACACGTCACGCTGCCACGCAATCAAAACATTATTTGTGCAAAATCACGGAACTGAACTGAAGCGGAAGTGATGAAGGACTTATTGGCTGCACGCGTCCGTCGTCGCTCTCCTCCGCCGGGGCAAAAAGTTTAAAAAATATTTGGTTGGCCCTCGAAGCGCACCCCATTTGCATTGCACCCAAGTCTCCGGATCGGAAGGACTCCGTCCCGTGTTAAATTCAACACAACGCGTGCGGTCACGTGGCTGGCGGACACGCCCACTTTCATGATAGTCACAATCGACAGCCGAGATTTAAACAAAACGCTGCCACCGCATCAAACGTCATTCACTGCCGCAGGACTCCCACCGCCACCCACCGAAAATCATCAACACCGCCACCCCAAAAAGGCAGGGAAATGGGGAAAGAGCTGCGGAAAATCGCTGAAAATTATGTAAATTGTTTTTGGGGGGCCGCAGATCGAAAGGAGTGCGCAAATTTGCCTAAATGCTGGCAGGACTCCCCGGCAGGTTCGAAACTGTTGCAGACAGCGGCAAAAATGCCAAACAATGTGACAGAAACATATGTTGCCATTATCAGCAGTTAACCAAGGGGACAATCCTTTCACAGGATTCCCATAAATCAAGGGAGCTTTTGTAAAGAAGCAATTTTATGATTGGCTGGAGAAAATTCAGACAAAATAAAAATTAAATTCATAAAGTCAGCCGCAAATCAAAAAAACTAAATATTGTTATAATTAAAAAAAAATTTTGAAGGCCGTTGATACTTATCATGTACAATACATATACAATAAATATTATATTTTATAAAAAAATATGAAAGAATATTAAATGTATGCCCCAGATTTTTCCCATGCTACTCAAAATTCCTGTCTTTTTTATTTGAGATTTTTAGCAAAAGCGTTTCCTCTAATTCCACCTAAAACCATTAATAAAATCCTGTCAGTCCCACCCCGCTGTGGCCCAATCCAGAGATCATTGGGAAGATATCATTTCGCATTTGTTGTATATTACTTCCTGTCCACCATGGCCATATACATTTCATATTTTTCCCACCAGTCCGAGATGTCCACCCCTTGAGATAGAAATAGTCGCAATTCCTGCCCCCTGACGACACACGTCCGTGGCAATAAAAGCGCAAACGTTTCAATTCCGATGCGGCTGACAAATGCACAGAAAAAATGCCAACGATTCTGCCCCAAAAATATATTATAATGATAAAAAAAAATCGAGTGAATGGAAACGGACGAAAGTTTATCTCGATGCTGTCGAGTGTTTTGATTTGTTACGTTTCTCACTTCATTATTATGCGATAAATAATGCCATCTACATGTCCCGTCCAATATAATGCAGTAGGGCTGGTTCGCAGGGGGTTGTTGACTAGTCCTGGTTTTTTGTCCAGTGGAAGTGGAGCGGAGCGATGGTCAGGAATCACTGCTGTGGAAATTAATGAGGCCTAACATGACAGGGCATGAGTTTTTTGCAAGCATATTTTTGCTAAATAGGTCGGAAATATACTAGCTTAAATACAATGTTTTTCCACAATACCTAGATGTATGATTGAACTATGATTGAACTTTTTTATTATTATCCTTATTATTCTTATTACTCTACTTTAAATTTAAAGTATAATTTCCAATAAAAAACAAAATAGAAAACATTATGCCTGATCACTTAATTGTAAGTATATTTATATCAAGGGTTACAGTATAACACTTTTTGTAAAGTTAACACATAGGGGCTGACCTTTGGAAAAGCTTTGTGGAGATGCTGAAGCAACTTTCGCGTTGCCAACTTAACATTGAAAAGTTTGCTTACATTTAACTTAAAGCTAACTCCAATCAGAGGGGTAACTTTGGGGAGCTTATCTGCGCGGTTTGCTTGCGCCACCCCCCAAAGCTTGCGGAGAAAGCTCCGGCGGTAGCATTGAACCCCTATGCGAAAGCTCCGGCGGAATGGAATGGAAAACCCACCCCCATTTCACTGGGCACTCACCTCATCGCTGGCTCTGTGTGTGTGTGCTGGCATGCCAAGCCGAGCGCGCGCTCTCTGGCGCGGAGAGCACAGAAATCGCTCTTTTTGTGACACAAAGAGGAGTGTCAGGCAGCATAAATTTCAGCATACAAAATTCCACACACTCGCAACGCGTCGCAGATACTTTTCGGCAAAGTTTTCCGCAGGAAAAGCCAGTGTAAATAATTTGAAAAACCCCCTAAAAAATGGCCAAAAGTTCCTCTTAGTAATTAGCGGATTGGTGTAAATAAATTTGGTGTTCGTCTAGCGGTAAATGCTGCAATTCATTGTGTATTTGTGCCTGTGTTTTTATTCGGGCCAAATGTGCCCAAGTGGTCAAGTGAGATAAATCAAACAAGTTTCTTTTGGTTGAAATTAAACGGCGGCAGCCGAATATCGCCACGGGAATGGAAATAAAATGAAAATCCGGCAATCATAAATAAAACATAAATTATGTTTCGCTGTCAGTTGGCGGCAACAAAAATAAAATGATCAAAAAAAAAAGCGATGCGAGCCAAGCGGATATATTTTGATTTTTTTTTATAAATAGAAAAATCAATTTCGCACGCAGCAGCAGCAAAGAGAGAGGGAGCCGAAGCTCTCTCCACACAAATACACGCAAGGGCTCTCAGTGGCTCTCCGGCGTGGGTGTCTATTATAATATCCAGTGAGCAGAAGAGCGAGCGAGCGACTGGCCGAGTGCTCTCACTCTTTCTGCGAAATAATTGAATATAATTCAAGTGTTTTTGTTGCACTATTTGTTGTGCTTATTATTGTTATTATTTGTTTAAATTACCAACAACAACATAAACAACATCGCGCGCGATTTACCCACCTTCAAATGCCAAAAACATCGCCATCAACAACAAAAGGAACTAAAAGGTCCGCAGGCTCTCAAGGAGAGCGAATCGCGAAGTGCTGCAGCCCTGGTCACAAAAAAAACCCTTTTATGGGTTTGTCCTGTTTACAAATTGACGCTGCAAATTGAATTTATAGCACGGCTGAAACAAGTGGTTGAGTGCCAGCCAGGGACCCACTTAATTTCCGTTATAGTCCCCAAAAATTCAAAAGACATATAAATACGGGAAATGCTAATACAGTGGAGCATCTATAAAACGGTCATTGGATTTCACTATTACTTCTGGCAATACTTTTTATTTTGAATATCCTTATTGCAATCCGAGCACCTAAAACGTTGCATACTTATATGCACCCTTTTTTACAGTTTTCACGTTACATTTCTGGGTTCCTTTAAATCCCAAAATACTGCACATTTAATTCCAGTTTATAAACACGCTCCCAATATTTATTTAATTTTAAATTCTCTATTTTGAGTTAGCCAAGTTGGCCTGTATTTGGTTTTAACTGGAAATAGGTGGCTGGTCGAGTGGGTGGTTGGGTGGTATTTTCCCTGAGAAATACTCACGCACAAATGTATTTCCCCCCGAGGAGCATTTGTTGCTGCTGCTGCCTGAATCTTTCGAAATTGACAACGGCAATAGACGCGGCAGCGGCAGCGGCAGCAGCAGCAGAAACAGCAACAGCAACAACAGCAAATCAAATAAATTAAATTTACACACATAGTTAAATTAGTGAAAATTGAATAAAACAGAAGGAAGAATAGACGACAAACGTAAATAAAAGACAGACAGAGCGCGAGGTGGAGAGTGACGAGTGGCAGACAGAGCGAAAGAGCAACGTGTCGAGCAACAAATTAATAATAAAAAAAAAGAAACACAAATTGAAAACAACAACAAAAGCAGAAACAGCAGCAGCAGCAGCGATTCTGGATTTCTAGAGGCAGCGGCACATTCAAAAGATGGGCTGTGGACAGAGCAAGATACATTTGTATCCCAGGAAATCGAAGAGTAAAGCGAACGGCAAGAAAGGAGGACATGGTAAGTATGGAATACAAGAGTACGTCCTTTGGGGCCAGACCTTATAAGATCAATGTATTGTGCACAGCAAAAAGATAGCATTGTAGATGAATTTAATTTATATAAATAAGAAAGTTAAATATACAAAAAAGATTTTAAAAATATTCCACAGAGAAATAAATATTTTTATGTTTTATATCATTAAAAAAATATTATTGTTTTTGTCTCTTCATAGAAGTAAAGAATTTAATAGACCATAAAAAAATCAATAAATTTTGAGAACATGTTTATAATTTGTGTTTAATAAGTACGTATATTTCTTTTTGCTCTTTTCTGCGTATTTGAATTGATTTTGTTTTGACATCAAAAGATCATCGTGCGAATAAGAAATATATGAAAGAGATCTACAAAAATATCAACATTTTCTTCTGTGTAGAGAAAGGGAAATGAGGGGAAATGGTGAGGAAAAAGTATTGCCTCGCACAACAAAAGCTTACACGCATGACGACATCAATTTGCCTCCAGCTGTGTGCATGTGAGTGTGCGTGTTCCTGTGCATACGTGTGCCTGTGTGTAAGCCACCTGTTTCCACACAATGAGGACATCATTGATTAATATGTCACCAGCAGCGAAAGGGGGAGGGAGGGGCAGCAAGGAGAAGCCCAGTTTTAAGGCCATGCATTCACCAAAGTAATAATAAAGGCCTACATTTTAAAGCCCATAGCATTGTTGCTATATATACACCAACAACACACACATACACACATTGGCCCCTGTGTGTGTGTGTGTGCGCTTTCTCTTAAGTTTATAAAAATGTAAAAAAAACCTTGCCTAGATGGTAAACTTGTGACTACACCTCTCCTTTGTGGCTGTGTGTGTGCGTGTTTCTTGTTTTTTTCTATGTGTGTATAATTAACTGCTAAAAAGGCAACTTGTTGTTGCAGTGGGTGCCGCTTCAAGGGGTGTGGCCAGCCCCCAGGCCCTCTGTTGGGTGTGTGTGTGTGTGTTAGTGAGAGTCTGTGTGAAAAAGGGTTAAAGCTAAAAAAGTAAAGCATACACAAAGGCGCCATTGTGCTATAAACGACCCAAATTTTTCGGAGGCGCCTAAGCCTTAGTCTCGGTCCTATATTAATTATTCATAATACTCGGCACTCTTTGAATTTGCATTAAAATGCATAACGGTTTTTAATTAAATTTATGGGTAGCAGGGCCACTTCAAAGAAAGGCCCAAGGAAATATTAAGTATACGCAGGTCAAGCCGAACGTTACGGAAGATGGATTAGCTAAAAAAGAAAGAAGGAAGTAAATAAAGGATGTTAAAAAGCGGGAAGTAAATGGGTTTCTTTTAAACAAACTTACAACCTATTTTTTTATTTTTTTTTTTTTTTTGTCATTTAATATCTTACACTGAAACCAGTCAATAAATAAAACACCTTAAACGCTTGATTAATTAATAAATTTTTTTAATTAATGAAGCCCCCTTTAGTTTTAAAGAAAGATTGTAAAAAATATCTTTATAAAACATAAAAAAAGTAAAATACAATTTTTTGGTAGAGCTACAACTTTTCTGAGTGTTGGACATTTCTTTTTATAACCTAGCATAATTTTGACAAGTGTTTTCTAAGCATTCTCTTGACTGCCCCGTCGCACAGAAGTTTCCCCACTTGGTTTATTGCAAAACTTTTGCCACTCCCGTGGCACTCGCGAAATTGCCCACTCATCTTGACTAATGCTCGAAACTCTTCTTTGGCATTATCCATTTGTTTGGCAGCCGACTCAGATGCCGAAACGGACGAGGACGAAGGCCACATCGAGGATGCCGAGAAGGCACAGCAGCGCGACCGCGAGAAGCACGACGAGAGCGAGGAGCTAAGCAATAAGGACATCCAGGACAGCGACGAGGACGTGGCCGTCTCGCTGCTGCGCGCCAAGAACCTGTCGCTGCTCCAAAGCCAGTAAGACATCCCGCTGCTCGCCTAACCGAAAATAAACACCTCACTTTTCCAGGGAAATATCATCTAGCCAACAGAACTTCTTCCGCATGCTGGACAAGAAGATCGATGAGGTGAGTGGCCTATAAAGCAAACAAAACACCTGGGGCTAAGTGATCATAATATTTAAACAAATAAATACAGTAAATACAATACAGTTTTTTAGAATTTAAAATCCGAGTGATGCACTAGCTAATTTAATTTAAAATTAGCCGTCAATTTCTTGAACAATTAAATTGGACATCGCCTACGTTTTGTAGTCATAATATGGCGCGTAATTGTCTGTTCCATGATAATAAACAAATGCCACGCCGCCCAGCGATCAAAATATAAATATAAGTATTTGGTAGCGCTCAAGCGGAACACCAAAACAATTGCCTTGCGGCCTCCAATTTGTTTTCTTTTCGAAAAACATGTGGGGAACCATTAAAATTCGCTTGTTACCTGAAAATGAGACTTCAAAGAGAACTGTAGAACATGCAGATAAAAAAATTTATGCGATCTCGTGATTAATTTGATTATTTAACTTTTTTTGAGGAAAGATTCAAACATTTCCCCTTGATATAAAGACTTGTGTAAATAAATAGGTTGAAAAAATTAAAAATATCTTTTCATTTAACCTTATTATACAATTATACAAGATTTGTTAAACTGAAGTTTAGTCAAAAAAATATAAGACAAATATTTAAAAATATTTAATTATTGTATAGCATCATATTTTGATCACTAAACCTGAGTATTTTGTTGTTTTTGTCTTTTGAAATTATCTAATCGCCACTAATTTTCCAGGGTCCCGATTACGACTCGGCCAGCGAGACGGAGATCGCCTTGGAGGAGGCTCGACTGAACGCCCTGCGGCAGCACTGGGAGTCGGCCAGCATCACGGCGTCCATCTGCTCCTCGGCCAGTCGGTCGCTGCAGACGACTCCGATCCGACAGGTGCAGGTGCCGCTGAAGCAGCCGCCCCGCGGAGCCGGCCTGCTGCTCCAGCCCTCCAGTGCGGCGGCGGTCACCGCCTCGTCCTCGACGATAGTCACCCTGCCCACGACGGAGTATCTACCTCAGCATGTGATGGCGGGGCGGCAGCAGCAGCAGCAACAGGCGGCGGTGCTCTACCAGCAGCAGCAGCAGCAACAACAGCAGCTGATCCTCCTGCCCCAGCTGGATCCCATTGCTGTCAACACGTCCACGGCGGCAGCAGCGGCCCAGCTCGTCCAGCTGCAACAGCAGCAGCATCAGCAGCAGCAGCAGCAACTCAATCAGCAGCAACAGCAACTCTACCAGCAGCAACAGCAATATCTGCTGTCCCTTCCCGCCGGAACGAAGCCGCAGAGCGTCAGTCCGAAGCGCCTGATCTACGGCAGTGCCGCTGCAGCTGGTCCGCCGCCGGGCAGTACCGCCTGTCCGCCGACGGCACCGCCTCCTTCCGTTCAGTATATTGCCGCCGGGTCGAGCGGCGGTTTCCTCAATGGCGCCGGCGCCATTTCCGGAATCGCAGCGGGCCGAGGGCCGCTCCAACTAGCATACTATGGTGCCGCTCCCCCGAGCACTGCCCCCCCGACGGCGACGGCCAATGTTCCCAACGCCCCCGAAACGTACGAACCGCCAACCGCTCCACACAGCCAAAGTCAGCAGCAGCAGCCGCCGCCGCCTCCGCCGGGCGCCTATTACGGTGAGATGATGCACGGCGTTCAGGTGAGTTGCCCTTTATAGTCCTTAACTATAAGGATTACATGCTATTCAAAAATATAAAGAAGGATCTTACAAGTGATTTGTTATTAAAGCTAAAAATCTCAATTGTGTTATATTTATAAGTAGAGTTCTTAGGAGGTTTACTTTACTTAAACTCAAAATTTAAATATGGAAATAACAAAACTTTTTAAACCGGAAGTATTTCTCTTAAATCCTAAGCTAAATAAAATCTGTAAATTTTAAGTTCTTGAAATCTTAGTATCTCAAACCTAAAAGCCTTCTCCCATTTTATTTTCCAGGCCGCTCCGACGGCGGAATACAAGTTCCCGCCGGCGATCAGCGTGCAGCGACTGGCGCCGCAGGTGCAGCGGCAGCTGCGCGAGACGCAGGAACTCATAAAAGACTCGTGCCCGCAGCTGTATGCGGCGGGCTATGGCAGCCCAGGACCACCGATACGCAACCCCAGCAGGAACCCCACTAGAACTAGACCCACCCTGGAGACGCAGTTCTCGCAGGAACTCTCGTGATATCTATATATGTAAACAGCCAGCCGACGGAGGAAGCACCCACATTCAGACTCACACAGTCGGAGACAAACTGCAGCCAAAGAAGAAAGCTAAAATTAACCAAAATTATAAACGATGCCCATGACAAAAACCAAAAAAAAAAAAAGATCGAAGAAAAAGCCAAAAAAAAAAAAGAAGAAAATCGAAGAAAAGAAAATCAATTATGAAATTGTAAAACTGCACTCAATGTTTCAGACCCTCAGAACCCCCGGCGGGCAGATCGAGCCCCCTATATGCGTACTACTTACAACAAACAAACACACGATGATGATGAACAACTACTAAACCTATGCGGAGCAACAAATAAAGCATTAAACTACACAAATATCCAAGAGGCAGCCAAAAAGAGACCGATGAGGGAGGGAGGACGAGGGAGTCGAGTAGGATAGGGATATATAGCGAGTTGGATCAGAAAGCGCAAGGTACATAGATTTAGGAATCGAGTATAACGTTATAATGCGATATATATGCAAATGCCACAAAAGAGGACGCGGAGCAGGATGTTAGAGCCCGAAACAAACAAGCAAACACAAATCATACAAAGTAAATAATATAAAGTGTAACAAACAAACAAACAACAAATGACTTCTACATTCTCACGCAATTTTGTTAGTCATAAAAATCTCATGGTGTAATTTTTTAAAGCAAATATTTTCCGTCAAATTCTCGAAATGGTGTAACGTTGAAGATGAAAGGATGTTCGTTGGATATGCAATTAACGGATGAAGCTGTCTAGTAATATTTGTATAATTTAGTTCTATTTATTATTATGATAATTTTGGATGTATAATAGTTTTTCTTATATGGATATATATATATATATTAAAAATGGAAAATAAAAGCAAATCAATTAAGTTTAACTCACCGTACTTTTTTTTAATCCCGGAGGCAAGAAAGGAAACTTCAGTTGAACTTCTAATTAATTCCTTTATTCATATCTTGTAATCAATTCATACTTATGGGCTCACATAAAATGGAACTGCATTTTATATTTCTGAAAGTATTAGATGTGTGGCTTGTATGCTTGATTTTGTATTTGTTTGAAAGTATCCAGCTAGCAATTCATTAGACTAGTCACATAATATGGTTTAAAGATGACATAATTATACGCATTTGATTCCAAGAAATTGACATTGTTTTGTTTCTTAGGTGTACTTGTGTGTGTACATGTGTGTGTGTGAGTGTGTCCAATAGTGTGAAAGTAGTGTGTTTCGCGGGAGTGTTTTCCCTTCTAGTGTTCCCTAGTAATCCGATTGCATCTAATCTCTTTTGGCTTGGGTTTGGTTGGAGCATTGCAAACGTTTCCTTTGCAGTGTGTGTATGAATAGATAGTTACAATATTCGAGAATTGTATATAGAGAAATCAAATACGCCCAGGGCTTTGGAAAGATAAATGCCAACAACATCGATGATCGGCACTCGAATGCCCTAACAATTTGACTAAACCAAAAGCTTATCAACTAAATTGGGGTTTTCTTCTTTTTTTTTGGGGGGGAGGTTGGGGGGTTTGGGGGGGTAGGGAAACGAAGAGATTTATCAAATTAAAAGCGTATTTGATTCCAGATTAAACCATATTATATAGCTAAGACGTGGGCGGAGGAGATCTACACGAAACGTACATCCACAGCGCTCATCAAACATCTTCCCTGTGAAGTCTCTGGACTTGTGAATCGTGACCTGTGTACAATTAATACGGCTGGTGTACGGATGTGCGTGTTATGTTCGTGTGTGTGTGTTGGGAAAAGGAAATTACAGTAGAGCAGGACCTACAATTTGGTAGCCTCGTTCGGGCCATAGAGCCTCTAGTTCTGCACGGGCAGCGGCGGCGGCGGATAGGCGAAGATATCGCCGCCGTTCGCCATCATGTAGGGAGCCGCCTGCGTGGGCACTGCATACTGGGCGCGGTAGGAGTTGGCCACCGCCGCTGCGCCTCCGTTCAGCGACACGGTAGCCATGCTGGAGGACATCGACGAGTACTGGCCGTAGGCCTGCGGTGTCTGCAACTGCTGCTGCTGCTGCTGTTGCTGCGTGGTCTGCAGCTGCTGCTGCTGCTGGGCCGCCTGCTGCTGGTTCATCGGTGGCGGGGGCATGTTGGCGAAGTTCATGTTGTACGGCGAGAATCGCGATCGCTTCTGATCGATCCCGTAGTTGGCCGCCGTCATCGCCGCCTGCACGGATGCGTCGGGCAGCAGATGCTGCTGCTGGGCGGCCTGTGCCTGCTGCTGCTGGTGCTGCGCCTGCGGCGGCACGGGCCCCGGTCCATTCTGTGGTTTGTTCGGCTCGAAGCAAGCGGCGTTCGGGTTGAAGCGCGAGAAGGGCACACCGCCCTGCTGCTGCTGCTGTTGCTGCTGACCCTGGTAGCCACCGCCAGCGCCTCCCTGGCCGCGGTATCCCCCTCCCTGGCCGCCCTGATTCGGTGGCGAGGTGCGCGGCTTCTGGTCGAAACGAGGCGGTCCTCCGGCGCCGCCGCCGTTGAAAGCGTTGCGGTTCATGTTGCCACCGGGGCCGTTGTTGTTGCGGTAGTTGTTGCCGCCGTTGTAGCCACCGCCCATCTGCTGGTTGCGACCCTGGTAGCCGTTGCCGCCGCGGTAGCCGCCACCCATGCCGCCGCCGCGCTTGTTGTAGCCCCCGCTCATGGCCATGTTCATCAGTTTGGGGTTGATGGTCTGCCAGGGGAGGACAAAATAAAGGTAAGTACATTGAACTGACGAACAAGTAAACAAAGGATAAGGTTCGAAGAAGTAAACTACCATCTTATTTTAAGTGTTTTATATTAAATATATTATTTTTGGTTTTTGTTTTGTCTAACTAGTTTACTTCTTCGAACCCCAGGATCTATAGCTTCAGGGATCACTCACCTGGTTGGCCTCGCGCAGCACCTGAATCAGGTCATTCGCCTTGTTGGCATTGGAGTGCGTGAACAAGGTGTAAGCCGTGCCAGTGTTATTGGATCTTCCGGTACGCCCGATGCGATGCACGTAGTCCTCCGAGTTCGAAGGATAATCATAGTTGATCACAAACTTGACATCGTCAACGTCTGTTTGATTTCAATTATATTTTTCATTTCGAATTTGGAAATTGAAGAATGTGAAAAGAAGCGTTAAAAATATCGAATCGAACCAATTGTCGAAAATAGGAATCTTTCTCAATACTCAAGAAACTATTCAACAAAAACAAAAACTTATTTGTGTGTGTGTGTATGTTTGTGTGAGTGTGTCCGATACTGTCTTGGTGTTAGTGTAGGTGAGCTGGAATTCGTGTCTGTGCGATCTTTTTTTTTTTTTTTTGTTTAGTTTGTTAATAAAACTTAAAACATACTTGATCGAATTGTTGAATGGATTGTCGGTAGGTAAATCAGTTATATATTGTTTTTGGTATGTTTTGTACTTTGAACAAAAATTTCGCCATCAATACTATTAGCGTATATTAATAACTATACATCTTTGGCAAACAGATATATGTTTTTTCTATACTGCAGAAATGTGGACCTCGACCTTTTCTTCTCATCATACTTTCATATCTTTCTTTTTTCAATACACAAATCGTAATATAAATGTTTAAGCTTAATGCATACAAGAGACGGCTTGATTAAAATCAATATTACAAATAGATAATAATAAAGTATATGAATGATAAAAGCTTATGATAGAGGGTGCTGGGCCTTCATGGGGGAAGATGGTGGTTAGATACTTCGATGGGAATGGGGTTCGGAGGGGTGCGGACATACTGCTATGATTAGGAAGAAGTAAATTAGCCTAGTACTTACCCCGACGATCTAGGGTTAGAAAGGATTAAAGTTAGGCTTACGCACAAGGGTCCCTGGAGATCCTGTCCTCGCAACTGGGTCGTGATGAGGGAGATCCCGAGGATCTCCGCAATGCTAGAAACTTATAACTCAACCCTCAACTTGTATATATAGCTTTTCTCTTTAACTGCATTGTGTATACAACTTTAAACTTTTACTTTTTTTTATATCTTGTTTTGCCATTTGAAAAATCGAAGTCCATTTCATAAAGTGCTGATGATATTTTTGTTCACACACAAATTTCGGTTTTATACATAGAGTAAGGAGCGACGTAATATAGTATAAAATACTTTATGATACATAAATAAGCTGCAGAAAATTATCATCAGTCAAACAATTTTTGGGCCGCAAAATGTTGCAATTAATCAACACCTTAGTTAGTTAATACAACTAAAAACTAAAAAAAAAATTTTAAAAACAAAACACGTTTATATATATTATTAAGGCGTATTTAGTCGGTTCGCCTTGGATTAAAGGGTTATTTTTCAAGGTGCACTGAGATTATTTACTTTCGATTTTTGAGAGTATTTTGCTGGGCCATCGACTCCTTGACTGACAGTAAGTTGCTTTATACGATAAGGTTACTCAAAATGTGATTGACGAGACACAACTAAAAACTATGAGCAAGAGAGCAACAAACTAAAAGTAAACAACATCATATAACCAGCAATGCATGGAGAACAAACACATTCCCCTCATTATTTGAGCCCACACCATTTCTTCGTATTCGGAGAATCATTCAGCATAAATAAAGGGATCGAGGTAAACCAAGCGGTCCACCAGGAATCGAACCACTTTAAGACTAAACTAAGGCCCAAATGTTCCCGGAAATTATAAAAAGGATTTTTTGTCGGCTAGTTAAGATTCGAACATGCAAAACAAAATAATTCGGTTCTTTTCCGGTTTTCACTTTCACTAAGTTCATTTTTAAATATTAATCACGAATGAACTTAGTTCATTTCGTTTAGATGCCCGTTTTCAATTATAAAAAAAAAATAAATATAAAATAAAACTAAATATCCTGGAATTAAGAAATTTCTAGAAACAGCTAGAAAAATTGTACTCGCAAACAATTTGGGAGTAGTGACTAAAAATATCTTCCTAAATTAAAATAAATTTAAGGAAAATCGTTTTCCACCAAGAATATATACACACTGAAACCACAAAGAAGGATTCCATTTATGAAAGCACTGGAATAGGATCGCTTTCGCTGTGAGATCAAAAGGAAAATGACTTGTGAAATCCGGAACTGACCCAAATCAAAGAAAAACCTCCAAAGTTCTGCAAACAGAGCGGAAGGAAGACCGAAGAGGCTGGGCGGTGTTGGCCGATTCATCGCTGACGGATCGCTGAGACCAGTCGAACCAGGAAGGCGTCGTCGACGACGAATCACAAAATAATGAATGAAACCCCACGGGATGCTGATTGATCCACAGGCAACAATTGCTTGGTTACGGAGAGAAAAAACGGTAGGTGGCCGTGCTGGCCACCGGCCCACAAAGGCTACGTTTACTCACCCAGTCCGCGGGCAGCCACATCGGTGGCCACCAGGATCGAGTGCCGGCCATTGCGGAAGCTCGAGAGCACAAAGTCGCGCTCCTGCTGCGACTTGTCGCCGTGAATGGCGCAGGCGCGCCATCCCTGGCGGGAGATGTTGCGCGTGATCTCGTCCACGCGCTTCTTGGTCTCCACGAAGATGATCGTCTTGGTTTCATTCTCCGCCGAAATGTCCGTCAGCAGCTTGATCAACTTCATCAGCTTCTCGTTCTCATCGCACACGTCCACGATCTGCAGAATGTTGTGGTTGGCGCTCAGCGACAACGATCCAATGTTCACCTGGATATAGTTATTAAGGAACTCCTCGGCCAGCTGGCGCACCTCCTTGGGCCAAGTGGCGGACCACATCAGAACCTGACGGTCCGGGCGGATCTGTTGCATGATCTTCCTGATCTGCGGCTCGAAGCCCATGTCCAGCATACGATCGGCCTCGTCGAGCACCAGGTAGGTGCATCTCTTCAGCGAGGTGGTGCCGCGCTCGAGGAAATCAATCAATCGTCCCGGTGTGGCAATCACAATCTCCACGCCGCGCTCCAAATCTCTCGCCTGCTGACCCTTCGGCGCTCCGCCAAAGATGCAGGTGTTGCGCACATGCGTGTTGCTGCCAAACTCGATGGCCACCTGCTGGATCTGCTGGGCTAACTCCCTTGTGGAGCCAGCACCAGGGCGATGGGTCCATCACCGCGCTCCAGGCGCGGCTGGTTGTTGATGTGCACCACCGCCGGCAGTACGTAGGCCAGGGTCTTGCCCGATCCCGTCTGGGCCACGCCCACCAGGTCCCGTCCACTCAATGCGATGGGCCAACCCTGAGCCTGGATGGCCGTGGGCTTGGCAAAGCCCTGTTTGCGGATCTCGTTCATCACGTAGTCGGGGAAGCCGCCTTCCTCGAACTCAATGCTGGGGGTGGGCACCTGGTCGCCCTTGATGGTGATCTCGTTGCTGCTTAGGAAGGTCTCTGTTTCCCCAGGAGTGCGAGCCAGCACCGAATCACAGGGTTTGTAGAAGTTCTTGCGGAATGGTGTGAGATTCACCTCGGACCACACGATCTTGGGCAAGTGTGCGCCGTGGTTGGAAGAGCGTTGGCCGTTCTGGCCACCGAATCCCTCCTGGTTGCGGGGTCCTCCGCCCATGCCAGGAACACCGCCGCCGTTCATGCGGCGCTGACCTCCATTCGAGGGTCCGTGTCCATTGAAGCCGGGATAGGGAGCCGAGCGGTTGCGCTGAAACATGCCCGCACCGCCGGGTCCACCCCCCGGAGCTCCGCCGCCCATGCGATTGGGGACCATGCCGCCGGCTAGGCCACCGCCTCCTCCTCCGCCGCCACCTCCGTAGGCGTTTACCTGTCCGTTGTACCTGCAACGAGCGTTTTGAGACATGAAATTGGAATTTTGAGCCTTTCGATCCAAAGCGAAAATGTTTGAATTTACTCAAAGCGATCTTTTTTATGTAATTTTCATTTTTTACTGCCATTTTGAATTTATTGATTTTCGACATTCGGCCCCAGGCCGCATGGCATATTGAATTTCGGCCCGAAAACAGTTTTATTTTTGGGTAAAAATGTATTTGGACTTACATGTTCATTGCTGGTGTGCTGCAAGTGGTAAGATAGCTGGCCAAATTAAAGTCTTTCGGGCACTTTTTAATTTTTTTCACTTGACAATTTTCCAACTTTCCTACGTCGTCAATAAAAGCAGTGTTACCAGGTGATGCCACTGCCCTTGCACCGAATGTTTCGCAGGAGTGAAAAGAAAGAGGAAGGGGTTGCTGCTGGTGGTAGTGTTATAAAACGGGGAGCTGGGTAAAGCGATGGTCACACTACAGGTAGAGAATACAGTGCTGCTTGCAAGGGGTGGAAATATGATATGCTGTATAATAGAAATAAAAAATATAACTTCTTTACATTTTTAATTGGTAATATTTTTAGAATACAAAAATAAACACAAGCTTGGAGGAACAAAATAACTTTTTTTAAGTTTCGCAGTAATTCATTTATGTACTATACACAATTTTCAGCCTTTTTATATTAAACCTGGAACATTCTAGAACCGGCTGGAACCTTTTTTGTATTCTCTAAGCTTAATGTTTATTTTATTTATGTTTTTTGGTTTTTTGCTTTCGATTATTCACCCAAAATTTTTTGATCGTTAAGACAGGTTGTTACTGTACTTTATAAAGTAAACAAACATGGCTCGAAACAAGGGATCAATATTATTAGGCTGAAAGTAAACAACTCTAAACGTATTGGCCACTTACATTTAATAATTGATTAACTATAATTAGCTATAAACAATGCGAACCAGTTACAAGAAAAACAGACCCTTTGATTTTAAGCTGATCGATCTAGTGGAACCCAATCCTGTTCTTTATAAAAGATCTGGGCTTTCAAATTACGATGCGATGAAGGCAAAAACGGATATTTGGGCCAGGATTGCCGAGTTGATGGGTTGTGATGGTGAGTTACCCAAGAAAAATATTGCAATGAATATATGTATCTATGTATATAATGCAATATTCCCAGTGGACTTCTGTCTGATGCGTTGGAATAATTTGCACTACCAGTTCCGAAAGGAGTTCCGACGGGCAGACACCAGTGGTTCCACTTGGCCGTACCTGGAACGCCTTCGGTTCCTTGCCGATAGTCAACCACAAATTAAAGCGAAAACTAAGTCCAAAATAAAGGACTCCCCAAACAAACAGAATGGCTCCGTACAGGAGGAAACCCCTGTGCAGTTCCTTTGGGAGACCTACGAAGATGGAGAGGTTACCCAGCAGCCCAGCACCTTCATAATCGAAGAGATAATCGAGGAGCCCAGCGAGCAGATTATCCAGGAGGAAATCATCTACGAGGAGCAGGAACCAGCACAGATACTCTCGCCTAGGAGCAGCTTCCTTCAAATGGACCAGGTCCTCGCGCAACTCAAGGAACCCCAACGAAAACGAGCAGAGCGAAGAATAACAGCTTTCCTGCTCAAGTGCCAACTGCGTTCCTTAAGCAACCAGTCCGTGGAAGATCTTGTCATATAGCTTTTACTTTACATACTCTCAACTTTATTAAAAACAGAAAAAACTAAAATTACACCTTGCACTTGTCCAGATCCAGCCAGGCCACTTTGGGCTTGACGATAAACTGATCGCGCGGTAAACTGTCCAGCATGGCGGCCTGTTGGCGGACGTACTTCACCAGTCGTTCAATTTGCGCGTAATCATCGCAGTTCATCTCGAAGAACCGGCGCCACAGGGCACTGGCCAAAACCTTATCATCGGACATAATGCCCTCGTCGTAAGCGATGAGAGCCGCTTGGAACTGCTCGGATAACGTCTCGATCTGCTGACGGGTGCGCGAGGGATTGTGGGCCTATAGGATGATATAAATTTGAGTTAATATAACCTCTTCGAATGGCACTTTAGAACACAAATCAAAACTTACTCCCAACTTTTTAGCGCGTGTGTTGACATCTCCCCACATCGCCTCCACAATGCAGTTGCGCAGGAAGCGTCCATCCTCGCCCGTTTCGGATCCCTCGGCCATGGAGCGCATCAGGAGAAGCCACACATGCAGTTCAGTGACCAAAAACCAGGAGTTAAACGTATTGGGCAAATTAAAGTCGCGGAAGAAAGCCACATAGTTGATTTTATCGGCCACGCTTTCGTACAACAGATGACTGGTCACCTTAAGGCGCTAAATTGGGATAATCTGGATTAGTATAAAGAAAACAACGAGTAAACAAACTCCTTCTCTTACCGCTTTTGTGTTCGGTGTGAAGCCCACTTTGTTTAGAACTCTCTTCAGAATCCCTCCTTCTTCTTGTGCTCCTGTGCCGGGTTTTGTTTTATTAGGAGTATCCACAACGCCGGTGGATGAACACAAACGGCAGGACTGCTCGAAGACTCCTAATATCGCTGGGGTATGTTTATAGGACTGTTGTGTTACCTGTAATTCAATATTATAAAAAATTTTAGACCCCTTTATATAAGAGTTGCAGGCAGTGTTTGACTGCATTGCGTTCTTTTAAATTAATGGAGAGATTTCACTTATTTAAACTTACCCATGTGCTTCTGACTAGGCCGCTGGCCAGTCTTGCAGCTGCACGGGTGCACTGCATTTTAAATAATTCTCTAAATTCACTAAAAACAATATCGTTATAAAAATGAATTGCACGCGACAACAACCACAAACAGCTGTTCGAGCAGGGCTGCCAACTTGGAATTTTAACGTAGCCTGTAACTGTAACATAGTGTGACCGCGTATCGTACAGCTTCCTTCGTAACAGTAAGCAACGGTCATACCGGCACCCACAACTTCCAATTGGAAATGTAAATAAATAAATAAATAGGAAAAACTAGAATAAAAAACACACAAAAATGCTGCGTTTCGGGATTCAAATGTACCGGCCAGTGGCCTTAAATATGCAACTACTATCTCGGAACCCGGGCATCAATAACAATCAGAAATTAGTTACTAGAAAGATGACACAACAACGATCACCGGTGGATTGGACAACCAGTATTCCCACTAAGGCGGCAAAAGACAAGGAAAAGATTGCTCCATTGGGATGGTTTCTTTTGGTAAGTAAAAACACAGTTCTAAATCTTGATAAGTATATTAACTTTTTGTCACAATTTATTCCCTAGCTTATACCCGCCACCACTTTTGGTTTGGGCTGCTGGCAAGTGAAACGAAAAATTTGGAAGGAGCAGCTGATAAAGGATCTTAATAAACAACTCAGCGCAGAACCTGTGGCTTTACCCGATGAGTAGGCTTTCTAGCTGTTTAGTAATGTTTCCTCTTACTAAAATTAGTTATTCTTCTAGTCTCAGCGACCTCTCTCAAATGGAGTATCGGATGGTGAAAATTCGCGGACGTTTTCTGCACGAAAAGGAATTGCGTATGGGTCCGAGATCACTTATACGCCCTGATGGTGTGGAAACGCAAGGAGGACTCTTCTCTCAACGAGATTCAGGCAATGGTTATCTAATTGTTACCCCATTTCAGCTGGCAGATAGGGAGTAAGTTAACCTCTGTTAGAAACCAGTTAAATCCTGTATAAATTAACCATTTCCCGCAGCGACATAGTCCTGGTCAATCGAGGATGGGTTTCCCGCAAGCAGGTGGATCCAGAAACGCGCTCTCTGGGTCAACAGCAGTCAGAAGTAGAACTGACAGCCGTGGTGCGCAAAGGCGAAGCGCGTCCGCAGTTCACACCTGATCACAAAGGCAATATCTATCTGTATCGCGACCTGCCACGCATGTGCGGCGCCACAGGAGCTGCTCCGGTCTTTCTGGATGCCATCTACGATGCCCAGGCGGCCAAGAATGGTCCCATAGGTGGCCAAACGCGAGTCACCCTGCGCAACGATCACCTCTCCTACCTGATCACCTGGTTCAGCCTGTCGGCAGCCACTTCCTTCCTTTGGTACAGGCAAATAGTCAAGAGGATACCCTTCTGAAAGAACCCTCAATTAAACGCTTTGTTGTTATTTTTATAAAATTTACATGTTCTCGTGTAAATGCTAGTTTTTATTGTACCACCGCAGGAGAGGATTTTCCTGCTGGGGCTTATATTGCAACTACCGATCCACGAGTGGCGGATCGGCACGGGAATAGGAATAGGAATATGAATACAAATACGGTTCGAGGTTTCCCTCTCGGGCGTGCCTAGCTCAATACTTTAACTATTTAAAAACACACATTAGACTGGGTCGATATTGGAATAGCTTTAAAAATGTATGATGCAAAAATTAATCTACAGATAATTTCAAATTCAATGGTAATGATTAATCTTCAGATAAATGAATTCCAATTATATACAGTCAAAATTAGTAATTAAAGTTAATAAAATTTTAGCTTTTGATTATTTTCTCATGTTACTTCTTAGGAAATGACCACGTCAATCTAAAATTGTATTATTATATACTTTTTCTCATTAAATTTAAACTTAAATGGAGTCAAACTGATAGAATAACTTTAAGGTATTTAATTTCCAATGGCAACCGACCCAATCTAAGACACACTAAGATACAGAAACAGATACGGATATTTACAATTTAGTCTCGCAAATACTGGAAATTTCGCCAACTTTAAGTGTAAATGCCACCACCTCCGTCTCCCTTCGTGCCTAAAGCTGCGGCACAATTCCCCAGGAGCGGAGCAATCCAGCGCGCTGGTACTTCTTGCCGATGGTCTGCACATGGAAACCGATCTGCTGCAACCTCTCGTGATCGAGAATCTTTCGTCCATCGAAGATGTACGCCGGCTTCATCATCGACTGGTAGATGCGCTTGAAGTCCAGATCCACGAACTCATCCCACTCCGTGCAGATGACCAAGGCATGGGTGGCTCGAACTGCACTGTAGGGATCACTGTGGATCTGCACCGCCTTCTTCACCTTCTCCGGGGATTCCGTGACACTCGGATGCGTGAGGTCGTCGATGATCTGCTCGGGTTCCACTTTGGGATCGTAAATATCCAGGGCGGCGCCCTCCTCCAAAAGCGTTTGGCACACGGTTATGGCTGCTGTTTCGCGGGTATCACCCGTGTTCTTCTTGAAGGCGAAGCCCAAAATGGCTATCCTCTTGTCCGAAACGGTATTGAATAAGCTCTCGATGATCTTCTGCGAGAATCGCCGCTTTTGGTACTCGTTCATGTCGATCACCTGCTGCCAATAGGCAGCCACCTCCGGCAGATTGAGGTTCTCGCAGATGTAGATCAGATTGAGGATGTCCTTCTGGAAGCAGCTGCCACCGAAACCCACGGAGGCCTGCAGGAACTTGGAACCGATGCGGGAATCCAGGCCCACGGCCCTCGCCACCTCGGAAACATCTGCTCCAGTTGCCTCGCAAACTGCTGACAACGAATTAATGCTGGAGATGCGCTGGGCCAGAAAAGCATTTGCCGCCAGTTTGGAGAGCTCACTGCTCCACGTGTTCGTGGTGAGGATGTTCTGCTTGGGTATCCAGTGCTCGTAGATCCACGACAGCTTCTCCACCGCCTGATGACCCTCCGGAGTTTCCTCGCCGCCGATTAGCACGCGATCCGCGTTCAGGAGGTCGTTAATGGCGGTGCCCTCGGCCAGGAACTCGGGATTGGACAGGATGTCGTAGTGGATGCCGGGTTTCTGGTTCGCCCGCAGGATGTGCATGATGCTCTCCGCCGCTCGAACGGGCACCGTGCTCTTCTCCACCACGATCTTGTTGGACTGCGCGATCTCGGCGATCATTCGGGCGGCACTCTCCACGTACTTGAGGTCCGCCGCTCGACCTAAGGATTAAAAATAATAATAAATAAGTAATGGATCAAAGGAGTAAAAATACCATTCGAATACCCACACTTTAATTAACATTTTTCTGACTGAATTATTATAACTTCATTATTTATATAATTTTGTTTTCTATTCATGTTTACAATATAATTAATTAAATGAAAGCATTTATAAATATGCTTTGCTAATAACAAGGCTTTAAGCTTTATTTAGCAGGCAACACAAATTATAAGTTATTATGATCAAAGCGTTTTGGTCTTAAAACAGAAACCTGGTCTGAAGTGCCACATCAAACATTTTTATGGAGCACTTAGTGCAAATTATTAGTTATTATGATCGACAGGTTTTAGTGTTTAAGCAAAAACCTGGACTATAACGTGTAATGTATTCCTCCGCTCCTCCGAACAAGTAAATATTTGCATTATTAATACGTACCCTTGCCATTGCCGCATGTTTTTGTAGGCGTGTTCACCGAGATGAAGATAAGGTCCGCCTCCTTGATGGCCGTCTCGATGTCCGTGGAGAAGAAGAGATTCACATTGCGGCACTTCTTCACCACTTCATCCAGACCGGGCTGGAAAAAAAGCAGGCAAAGCTCATTATAATACTTTAAAAATTGTATTGTGCTGTTGCCCTAGTTTTCTGTTTTCTCCTCAGCAATGCCAATCACGACCCACTCCCAAAGCCGCTGGTGACGTTCCTACTTCATTACCCGATAAGATTACACCCCTTTCGTAAATGTTAGTACGTTAGCCTTATCCGATTCAGTTTCCTATGAAAGCTATCTCCCAATTAACCCCGCTACGGTGATGTTTACGTGCTGAAATAGCACTTTGAGTGGTCCACTTTGGAGCGTTTAGTGATTAATATAAAAATTATAGGATAGGGTCTTCCCATGACTACTCACGCTTATGCAATATTCGCACGAATTCTTTATTACCCCGTTCATTCAGTGCTTTCAGCCAGACTCATTTCCGTTTCTGATTCGATTTGAATGTTCATTGAACTCGTTTTGTGAGCAGTCAAATTTGCATACGTATTTATGTGAATTTCTCGGAGGCAGGTGTTAATGCCTGTCTTTCTTTTTGGCTTTCTTATGAAATCTGAGAATCACCAACAACGAATTTGAATACCAGAACAAACGCTGATCTATCTCTGAAATTAATTTATCAACATTTATCAAAAGAGGAAAGAGAATATCAAAAGGAGATGTTATTCGGGGACAGTTTCTATAAATATGTTGTCTGGGCTGCTATCATGTTATTGACTGATAAGTTTTTGCGGTTTGCTACAAAATGAAGAGGACTTTAGTGAGTACACTAACGAGAAAATATTGGCAACAGACGGCAACCAACAGTGTCAATAGCCAATTGTGCAAATGCAAAACAAGAGGATGTTGTTGACAAGGTCGCATTGATGTTTCTAGCAAATTGCATTACAGTACTCCACGTTATGACCATGATGTTTGCTGGTGATGCAATCTTGGTAAGTGAATATCAATAAGAAGAGTGGAATGTCTGTTAGACAGCTCTGCGGGTACGAGCGCACTCAATGCCGTGTTTTTGCCCATCTCTCTCGTGTGCATAATATATCATATAGTATCTACAACAGTAGGACTTCTTTAAGTGAAATCTTATCTTTTGCGAGTTAATTAAGAAAAGATTTACTTTTGGCTACTTTAACAAAGTACTGACAGTACATTATTAAAGACACTTTATTACCTTCATGATAAATACAAAGTATTTCTCTAGTCTTTCCCTTAAAGCATTAGTCCAATCTTTCAATTACCAAAAAAACAATTAGTTGATACTGATAAAACTGAAAATATGTTCCATTATGCAAAGTACTATTTAATGGATTCCAGACCATAACAAAGGTTCGGTGAACCGGAAGTTAATGTAAACGTCAACCCAAATCTTCTATTACCAACATTTGGACAGATAGTGATTGTTCAACTGACTGTGTTTGGGTGTTTGTGAATAAAAATTTGCGTTATTTCCCCAGAGATACTGGGTGTTTGCCGGAACGTGGGTAATTGGACGATTTCCAACTAATGTGAGCCCTGCCCAGCGAGCTTATCGCGGACCCGAGACTCTGTTCTGGCGCAGACCCGATAAGAAGAGCGGGGAGCCGAGTATACAGAGTATAAAGAATGGGGGCAGACGGATGCCAGGACGGAAATGCGCCAGTCGAAATGGAGAAAGACAGAATATACACTAATGTATGTGACGTACTGAAATCTGCCGGCAATCGGCTTACACCTTATGGCTTCGTGGCGCATTTAATATCTGGAATCGAGGCCTGCTGGCATTATAATGGTCACGCAGTCTGGAAAGTAAAATCGATTCCCACGCTTGTTTTCCGCCACGAATCATATTTCAGCAATCATATGTCTCTACGGGTTTTTATAGTCAGTTTTCAATGACTAATGGCCGTAACATTAGGACTGACCATTGACCTTGTTGTGGGCCAAGTGCGTTAAACACCTGAGAGTCTAGTAAAATGCCAAACACGCACCGATGTTCAAGTGAAGAATGACTACAGAGAGAGAAAAATCTCTATTTTTATTTTTTAAAAACTTTACCAAAAAGATGATAAAGAAAGCATGCATTTTTAATATTTATTTTGTTATCAAAAATGTCGATTAGTCACGAAAAAGTCAAAGATTACGTTAAGCCAATGTATACATGATTTTAAAAACAATGCAAACATTTTTAACACTTCTTTAGATGTAATTCTATCTTCTGACTTTTCTTAGTCAAAAAATCACTGCTTGGATGTGAAATTTTTTCTGTGGATGGGAACTGGTTTATTTTTGAGGGGGGAGGAGGTTTCACAGACTTGGGCATGAGCGGTCATCGACGTTTTGAGGTACTTCTCGATGGATCTCGGGATTGATTGATGTTTTGTTTGTTTAGGATTAGTGGAAACCCCAAAAGACAAAAAAAAAACTGCAAGGCCAAGGCGTGAGCACAAACACACACGCACACGACTAAAAGTAATGCTCTTTCTCTCTCCCACAGGCGCACATACACAATCAGACACACTTCCTATGTACATACAGACGTGAATCGAAAAAATGAACGAACCTCGTAAATGGGCAATTTATCCGAATTCCACTGGGCAATCCGCTCGGAGCTCTTGTCCACCAGGGTTATCACGATATCGGGGCACTTGAGCGCCATAACCGCGCAAGTTGGACCCCCAACATATCCAGCGCCAATGCAGCAGACCTTCATTGCACCGCTTTTCGTGTTTTCCGTTTTGTTTTGCTGTTGCTGTTCGGTTCTCCTTTCCGTTTTCGCTTTTCCTTTCCGGCGAGAGTGTCGCGTGCTTTTTTCTGGCAGAGCAGACCGGGGAATCTGACTTTTCGCGGCGACGGAACGAACAACAATAAAAAACCAAACACTACCACTAGCCACCCACCCGAACGCGGTTAAGTTTCCGAGGAGTGGAAAAACAACAATAACAACCAGCCAATAGTAGCGCCGTGTGACCACCGCGCAACCTGCGCCTCTACACCAGTTCGCGATACGGTCACACTTTGGCGAGAAACGGTATAAATTTGAAATTAATTTTTTAAATTTTATTACATTTTTTTTATTTATTTATATGGAGTAAATAGAAGTAGAAAATTAATTAAAATATAAATTATAATTTTATATTCTAATATTATAAAACACAAGCCCAGCTGACAGATGATAAACTGCATTTATTTTACGACATAAAACTAACTTGAACAAATAAAGCTCAGCACTTCCTTACGTCCGGAACAATCCCGCACTCGGCGTACGGATCAGCAGCTTTGGCGTCCTTTTTGGCGCACGGCGGGCACTCCACGCAGCAGAGATCGTCCTTGGGAGTGGCCTTCAGCAATCCGTCAATGTTCTCCCCTTTGGGAGTCTTCAAATTGGTCCCAGAATTTACTCTGGCCGGCACATCAGCCAGCTTGGATTTGGACGCCGTCTTGGGCAACGAATATCTGGTTGCATCCGGCGGATTGGGTCTGCCCCAGAAGTCCCGAGGAACATCCCAGATGATTAGCGATCCGTCCGTGCTGCCAGTGACGAACATGGTCATGCAGGGACTGTAGGCACAACTGATCACGGAGGAGGCGTGCTCCGAGCCCAATCCCACCACGGCACCACTGTTGTAGTCCCAGAGTTTCACCTGTAGATCGCTGCCCACGCTGATGAAGTAGTCCCCAGTTTCGTTTATGGCCAAGCAGTTAACCGATGACTTTTTGGAGGCAGTTAGTTCCCGGATCAGGGCTCCATTGTAAACCATCCAATAAATGATTCTGCCATCCGATCCACAAGTGATTACTTGCACTCCTGTGGGAAAGTAGGATGCGGACATGAACTGAGTGTTGGCCGTCACCACTTGCTTGCGAGTCATGCGTCTTGAGGATTAAAATTTATTTTTAATAAATAACATATATAAAAGTTGTTGTTTCCGACTCACTTTATATCCCAGATCACACAAGAGCCATCGGTGCAGGCGGAGATTACTTCCGTGTCTAGATAGTTGATGTCCAGCGAGGTTATAGGTCCTGAATGATCTTTTAGGACGCCCACGAGGTCCTGGCGATAAGGATCGATCTTCCACACCCTGACTTGTCCTTCGATTCCACCCGTGACAATAAGGCGGCCAGTAGAAGCCACTGCCAAAGCACTGCAACCTGGTATTACATACAAAAGATTAGTTATAAATAAATTCTTTATAAATAAAATCCATATATTCACCCTTATTATGCGCATTTGGAATAGCATAGATGAGTCTTCCGGTGATGGGAGTAAAGGCCCGAATGATTCCATCATTCCAAACGGAGACAATACTGGTGCCATCGTGGGTAAAACGAACACAAGCGCAGTTGAAATTGTAAACCATGATGCGAAGTAGCTCTTGTTTGCGTCCAGAAGACCAGATGCGAATGCACTCCTTGCCAGAAGTGGCAAAAACACCAGCGTAGTTCCTAAGATTAAGTATTCCATTGTTAAAATGATACAACAAATAAAACATTCGACTCACTTTGGAAAAGTGATGCAGTAGACCGACTTGGTGTGGCATGTTCTCAGCAATTTAAGAACCCATGTCTTGATATTCAGTCCATAGATCTCATTGGTGTCCGTGCATATGTAGAACATTTCTGGTTTGGAACGAACGAAAGATGAAATTCTCCCTGAAACATGAGTCTTCTTTAGAGTGCGTAGGTATGGCCATGTAGGACCCGGATAATCCCTGAAGTTTATAAGCGGCACATCAGTACGCTCCTCCACCAGCTCAATATCTCCATTTCCAGCTCCGATGAGTAAACGTCCTCCCTCGAGGACATACAAGGCACGCACACCATTCACATAGCGATTGCAATCTCTGCCAGTTGGCTTTCGTGGATTGTGAGTGCCAAAGGCTCCCAGGATGCAACTGGTGGATCCTTGCTTGCTCACATGATCGCGATCACAACAGTTGAGTACGATCTTTACAATGTCACCAGTTCCAGTGCCCAAATAGGCAAACTCATCGCTCTTATCAATGCGGGCGCAGTAAAAAACACGTGACTTGCTGGCCATCAGAACATCTTGTACATAAAGTTTCTTCTCTTCCCGCAGGATGCTCCACAGGCGAAGATGACGATCTCCGGCGGTCACAAAAAAGTATGGATTGTTGTGCATAGGCCGAACTGTCAAGGCGTTTCCGGATATAGCCCTCGATGCGGGTGTTTGGCAAATGGGGGAACTGGACAAATAAAAGAAGTCATTAAACGGCAAATAAAGTTTAAGACGTTGCACTCACAATGCCTCCATATCGAACACAATAACGGATCCATCATCCACACCTCCGATGGACACCACACAGCGATCCTCGGCAGTGAAGCATATGGCCTGCACCGAGACCTTGTGAAGATCGTGCCGGGCGATCTCCTTGCGCTGATCATAATCCCAGATGATCACATAGCCCCGGAATCCCATATGATTTATCTGACCCGAGGCCATGTATTTTCCACTCTTGCTCAGATCCAGACATGATATGGTGTTTGTATGTCCGGCCACAAACTCCTGGGTGTTCTTCTTGTAGTCAGCGATACCTATTTTATTGCCAAGTGCAAAGATAATGGATCCCGTGACCGGATGCTGACGAACTCCGTTCTCCACTTTTCCGTTGATCCCGAAGATCGCGCGCGGAAGCAGTTGCCTGCAGGGCTCCTGACCATCTCCCATTTTCCGGTTATTATATTAAAATATATGAATTGGAATGTAACATATAAGGTGGGTTGTGTCGGTTTTATGCCAATTGCTTTGAATGTTTTAAGCCGGGTTGTTTTCTGTTTGAAAACAAAGCATTTGAAATTTCAAACAGCGACCGTTGCTTGGTTGCCGTTGCCAAAAGAGGTAAAAAAGGTCTATAAACAATCTTAGTTTAACCAATTAGAAAAAATAGATTGAGTTTTAAGAAAGATAAAATTTAAAAATAAAATAAAATTTAAATTATGGAAATCTTTTGACCATGTTTTAACAAGGGAAATATCATTATGGAATAACCGTTAACATTTTCAAAAATATATTTTCTTGGGTTTTAAACAGGAATTAAAAAGAGAATTACAATAAAAAATAAAGATGTTTAATCTTATTTTTTGTTTTTTAAGTTTTCATTTGACTTTTCTAGTTGGCCAGCGATTTGGGAGCAGTACTCCTTCATCTTGGTAACATTTAGTGATGAGCAGTTTTTGTGGACGCGGTCATGCATTTCCATCTCCTTCTGGATAAGATCCTCCATTGCGGCGTATTTTTCTTCCTCTATTTTTAAATGCGCTAGCATAGCCGCATTCTAAAAATAATGCACTAAAAGTAATTCCATTAATCAAATAGGTTAAAACTTTACCTCTCGGTATTTCGCCTTTAACTCCTCCAGCCGAGCTGTCTTTTGATCCTCCTCTTCGCTGGTAAACTGATTTTCGAAAAACATGTGCTCAGGATGAAGGACATGTGGTGGAACATGGAACACCTTTTTGTCCAATTCTCTTAGTACTTTTAGCCCTTTGGCGGCAGACGCTTGGAAACGATGCTCTACTGTTTCCCGTTGGGACTCCAATAAATCAGATGTCGCAGGGGTCTTTATTCTTTCAATAATTTGAGCAATGCCCTTCTTAATAATATCCTGTACAATGTGTTCGCCTATAAAAAAAAATTATTAGTTATTGGGACGCTATCTTCTAAACAAAATAAATAACACTTACGTTCTGCTGAAAGTTGTGCTGCTGTAAAATTGAAGTATTTTTTGGTCGTAGGTACCACTATTAAAATCCATGGTTCAGGGGTACGAGAAGGTTTATTGTAAAGAGCTTTGTAAAGATGAAAGAAGTAAAAACCATCAACAAAAATCGCGCAATTTGTTGAATATAAAATTAGTGTTACCGTTTTTGGGAAAGAAAAAGATGCTGCCACATCAACAGTGATTCCAAATCTAGCTAATAATAAACGCACGTTGGGTCCAACTAATTCTAGCTATTGAAAAAACTAAATTCAACCAAAATCAAATAGGTAAACAGACTTAGTAAAGGTAATGAAATGCGAAATAGTTGTATGTTTTTTGTCAGTTTGTTTATAAACAAACAAAAACGAGTTTCAATAAATTTACATAATTCTTTTGCATGAACTCCCTCAATGTTTTTGTTTTGCTTTAGCCGGCTTTGCGAATTTGGCGAGAACCTAATAATCAGGAGAGTGCAAGTGCGCTACACATATCGGTGCCTATATAAATAGCTCACACCACTCTTCATTCGCTATTTACAGTTCAACTGCGAGGAACGTCCGATTTAACTAAATACCACAATTACTGGAACATCCACTTGACCCAAGCAAACAAAGGAGGCAAATATGCTTTTCATTGGGGGCGTTCTGCGTCCCCTGGGACTGGGTCTTCTGCTCCTGGGACTTATTGCGCCTATTTCTGCGATTGGATTTCGTCGCGGAAGGCTGAACGAGGGATTCCTGGGCGAGCCCAGCAAGATCGCAACCCTCCAGAGAACCCTGGAATCCGAAGACCTTTGGTTCGAACAGAAATTGGATCACTTTAAGGCCAGCGATTCGCGCACTTGGCAGCAGCGATACTTTGTGAACGCCGATTACTACCGGAATGATAGTTCCGCTCCTATATTCTTGATGATCGGCGGTGAAGGAGAGGCATCTGCCAAGTGGATGAGAGAGGGGGCCTGGGTCCACTATGCCGAGAACTTTGGAGCCCTCTGTCTGCAGCTGGAACACCGGTTCTACGGCAAAAGTCATCCGACCGAGGATCTGTCCACCGAGAATCTGTACTACTTAAGCTCCGAACAGGCTCTGGAGGATTTGGCCAACTTCGTAATCGCCATGAAGAAGAAGTTCAACCTGGCCGACGGTCAGAAATGGATCGCTTTCGGTGGTTCCTATCCAGGTTCGCTTGCTGCCTGGGCTAGGGAGAAATATCCCACGCTCATCTACGGGTCCATCAGTTCTAGCGGTCCCCTATTGGCCGAGGTGGACTTTAGGGAGTACTTTGAGGTGGTCAAGGCTTCGCTGGCTGCCTACAAACCCGAATGCGTGGACGCTGTGACCCGCAGCTTTGCCCAGGTGGAGATCTTGCTTAAGCACATGATTGGACAACGCAGTCTCGATGAAAAATTCAAGTGAGTACTATTAGATTCGACCCTGCAGAGGTTATCTCTTTAAAAATACCCGTTCTTAAAGCACTAGATTAAAATTGCTGTAATCGTTTTAAATCCTTTTTTAAACAAGCATATTTCTTAAAATATAACTACTATAATAATTGTTTTTCTTTTTCAGGACCTGCACCCCCATCAAGGATTCCATTGAAAACGGCTTGGACATGGCCAATTTCTTTGAGAATCTGGCTGGAAACTTTGCGGGAGTGGTTCAATACAACAAGGATAACAGCCCCCATGCAACCGTGACCATTGACGACGTATATCTTAATCTATATTTACCTCTGAAGCTATAGTAATCATATTTAATCTGTTTAGATCTGCGATGTGATGCTCAACACAACTGTAGGACCTCCTGTGACCCGTTTGGGTTTGGTAAACGATATGCTATTAAAGGAATCGAACACCACCTGCCTAGACTACAAATACGAGAAGATGGTGGCGGATATGAAGAACGTGTCCTGGGAATCGGAGACGGCCAAGGGAATGCGGCAGTGGACCTATCAAACCTGCCACGAATTCGGTTTCTATCAAACCTCCGACAATCAGGAAGACACTTTTGGTGGTCGCTTTGGCGTGGACTTCTTCATTCGCCAGTGCATGGATGTGTTCTCTAAGAACATGGACGCCAAGTTCTTGGATCTGGTGGTTTCCGGTACCAATGCGAATTATGGAGCCCTCAACCCAAAGACCACAAATGTGTTGTTCGTCCACGGCTCCATTGATCCTTGGCATGCCTTGGGATTGGTCAAGTCTTCAAACCCTGCACTTCCTACGATCTATATTGAAGGTATGAATCGCTTGCTATTATATACCGAATGACTCAGCAATTTTTCTCCCTTTTAGGTACTGCTCACTGCGCCAATATGTACGAGCCGGTGAAAACCGATCCCCCTCAACTGGTGGCCGCTCGCAACAAGATACTTAAATTCTTGGCCAAACTGCTGCAAGGCTACACCTCAAGCTTAATCTAATAAGTCAGCTGTAATTTCGATTACGTCAGCGAATTGTTTTATTTTTGCTTTCGCATAAGTTGTTTAATATAAATTTGTGATTCGTTGCGAGTTAATCCTTCTTAGCCTCTTCCATTTTCTCGTGGAATCGCTTCCAGTAGTGCTGCACCTTGGCGTTCCGTACGATATTCTGCTCGATAAAGTGCACCAGCCAGGTGCAGGTGAGATAGGACAGGTCATAAATGAAGGCCACCACGCGGAAGAAGTACTTCTCCGTCTGCTGCTTGCTGGGCATGTTGGCCATGATGTCCTGTATTTGCTTGGCAGCCGCCTCCTTGGCCTCCATTGCTCTCTTCTCGGCCTCGGACTGGTTGTCCTCCTTCGAAGAACAGTCTTCGGTGGCCTTGCTGCGAGCGATGGGGTCCACGGGATCGGCTCTGCCCAGTTTGCCACCCGAGGTGACTACGGCAACGGGTGGCGACTGTACCGCCGAAGTAGTGACGTCCTTCTGTGTGGTGTTCTCCGGATTATTCCCCAAGGACCCAGGAGCCACAAATCCAGGCGGATTGGTTTTGGATTTGTCATCACTACCACCTTCTACCGAAAAGAAGCGTTCTGGATTCCGAATCACAGCATGAGGATACAAAGCATTGCCATTCATCAGCTTCACAGTGCAATCTTTACCATTAGAAGAAAATGTGTTTAATTTCTGGAATGTTCCATGTGTTCTTAACTTACCCCAGTTATTAATCAATGATCCCGCTACGGATCGATTCAACTTGGACACAAATGTTGAGCGAATCATTTTACGAGTTTTTTGCAGCAGATATTAATATCTCACTGGAATACAAATTTTAACAATCGAAAAAAAATCCAAAATGCCGGTAAGCTTCAAGCACAAAATGGAAGGGCCAACTTAGTTTTTCAAAAGACAGAGTTGCTAGAAAAATTTTTCCTTTTTTCCGGAAGGAATACAAATTAATGAAAAACGTTTTGAGAGAAGGCAAAACAGTGCAGTTTCCAAAAAACGTCAAAAATATAAATATTTTTCCCTTATTACGTGTTCCTTTATACATATATGAAGGTGACACCCCTAAGTTTTTTTTTTTTGATGGGCATCATTGGCTGAAGGCAAAAACCATGACTTGTATTTTTTATAAATTGTCTTTTATTTATGCTATTACTAAACATATTAGTAAGTTAACTAGTTACATTTTAGGGCTTACAACTCCAGGCCTAGGTTCACCTTAAATACGGCTGTCAAGCTCTTGGCAAAAAATAGAACGTCATGCAAATGGCAAGTCCCAAAAGGCCCCTCTGCACGATCTGATTTCAAGGGGTTTCCCTTTAAGGAAATGACATTAGCCCGCGAAACTTAACTAAATTCGAAAGGGAGCCGATGGAGTTCATAGGTTAGGATATACAAAACCCATCGGCTGTCCTTTGCGTACTTTACATTCGTTAGGCTAATATTTAAATTAGTTAACTTACAGGTGCAATTTAATGGACACGGTTAACTAAATTGCAGTTGGTTATTTGTTCCGCGACTACTGGCAACCAAATCGGTTATTAAAATTACGTGTGTCAAGCATGTAAAGCATTTAAAACATGTATGGAGCATACGATTACGTATATGTAGAGCGTAAATGTATCGTATTCTTAGCGTTTAATGGAAATGTTGATGCGCGTTATCCTTTAATACTACGACGCAATCTTAATAATGATGATCTTGTGATCAGCCGCCCCTTAGAATAAACCAATTTGTTTTAAATTATTCTTGATGATCACATCGGTGACGGCATCAAAAACGAACTTAACATTGTTCGTATCCGTGGCGCAGGTGAGATGCGTATAGATCTCCTTTTGGTCTTTTCGCTTGTTGAGATTTTCGAACTTCATGCGAATATAGTTGGCCGCCTCCTCGAAAGTGTTGGTACCTTAAAATATGGTGGTTATTTAATAAAATAAAACTAAATAATTTATTTTAATTTCATACCTGTGTACTCTGGGAAGCATATCGTCAGGGGAGATCGCTTGATCTTCTCCTCAAACAGATCCTTCTTGTTGAGGAAAAGGATTATGGAGGTTTCCACGAACCACTTGGAGTTGCAGATGGAGTCAAACAGCTTGAGGGATTCGATCATGCGATTCATCTCTTCGTCCTCCGCCAAGACCAGATCGTAACCTAAGGAGTTAAATTTTATTATAGTAGTTTTTAAAGTTCTGCTATTATAAAACAAATATAAAAATATTGTATGATGGATAAATGGTAAACATAAAACTCTTTATCTTGGGTTAGTAATTAAGTAGACAAGTCTTACCTGATAGTGCTACGCAGAAGATAATGGCCGTAACGCCCTCGAAGCAATGGATCCACTTTTTGCGCTCCGATCGCTGGCCGCCCACATCAAAGAGTCTGTTTTAGGAATAATCGATTAATTTCACATAAACAAGTTATAGCAATTCAATTCCAACTCACTTGAAGTGCAGCTGTTTGCAGGAGAAGTGCGTCTCGATGATTCCAGTGGTTTTAACACGGGTTCGCAGCACATCCTGTTGGGTGGGTATGTAATTTGGTTGCGCAATGCGATCCAGCGAGTTGAGGTAGTATCCCGCCGAATCATTCAGCTGATATTCGCGGGAGCGGGCATAACTCTGCTGGACACCCCCGTCCGCCCAAAGTTTCTTCATCAGAAGGACAATCTCGGGCAGCAGGATTCCCTCATCGGCGGCGGAGGCATGTGTGAAGAACTGGCGGGCAATGTCCGTCTTGCCGGGATCGGCAAACTCGATCTTTAAACGACCCATGGCCCGGATGATCACCATCAAACTCTGCACCGTGTTGCTGAAGACCACGCGACGGTACTCCTCACACTCCTCCTGCGAGTAACCCGCATCGTGGATGATCTTCATCTGCTTCACTATCGTCGATTTGCCAGACTCGCCGGCTCCTATAAAACATTTTATAGAACATTATTAGTCAATGGGCTATATATGGACATTGGGAATTTCCCAATGAAAAGCTTTAAAAATAATTTTCATATAATGATATTTAAAATGACACAATATAGGTTTTTTTTTTTTATCAACAAACACTTTGATTCAGCAAAGGCGAAGTGAGCTCATGCTAATTTCTCAACCAGTGGGCGTAACCTCTACTTTTTTAAAATACCAATACATAGCGCCAAACTGAATGAATCGATGTGTTAACGAGAATCGGAATTGAAAGGGGTATATAATAACTGGAGAACGGAAGGAGGAATTTATGAATGAATGAACGCGATGCTCAATTGGCTGTGGGTTCAAAAGGCCAAAAAGCTGCCGGTTTACGCTTAATTGTGCTGGTCATGTTTAAGTGAATGAGTTTCGTACGCTGTATATATAAGGAGTCAAAAACACAGTTTATACCAAAAATGGGTCAGCAGTGTTTAAGCCATGTTGATAAAAATCGAATTTGTTATAAGATTTACTACACGGTCAAGACAAATTAATTATTTCCGGTTTCAAAAGTTGGGAAGAGCCGAAAATATAAACAACGTAATTTTATATTCTTTCTGTCATTAGTAGATGTAAGCAATTATTTTGCCTATAACTTTATACCTTAGCTTGTATCTCATTCCCTCATAAATCAAAAAGCCAAGCCCTTAAGTTCATTGAACCACCCAGCGGTTCTCAAAAGTTATCAAAAGCGGGGAGCTGGCGGAGAAAATAAACTCGATATACTCGTAACTTTATTAGCTGAGAGCTTTCAATTGTAAAATGAGACCTGACCCGCCAGCGTTAATAAACAAACACACAATTGTCTGACTGACCACCACACGAGTTTATTATCTGTTTCGAATGATAAAAATACAAAAATATAATCACATTACGTGCTCACCGGTTTCCCTTTTCGATGAAGGCAGAAATGAAATAATGGAGAAATGAGCAAATAAAAAATTGGCAAAGTTTTGCCGTCGAGCTACCGGTCTAAGATTTATTTAAGTTATCAGGCGGTATACGAGATGTTGGGGTATTGCAACAATGGCGCATTAAGCCGACTTTTTGCTGCAGTTGGGTCCATTCCCAGCCCCCGGATGATTAGGTAATTGCCGAAGCTGAAACTGCGACTATACTTTCACTTTTCTCTCCTTTCAGGGCTTGGTACTTGCACTGAGACTATGATTGTTTTTAATTTTCGTAAATAAATTATCCACGTTAAAGCTCCCTTGGGCGGACAGTTTCCTAAGGCCGATATTTCAAACATTCAATGATTTCTATGAAAGTGATTTTTTTGTGTAATTCAGAGCTAAGTATTAGCGTTTATCTATATGTTTGCGTTATATATTTTATTTATTTTTATTTGATAAAAACATATCATAAACTAACGTATTTGGTAAATAAATTATGAATATTATTTATTTTCATAAGCAGGTTTAAAGCCTCTTATCCCAAATGTACATGCGATTACCATTGTTTTATATTTTCGTTAATAAATCATTTATATATATATAGTAGACATTCAATTCCAGCCAATCCTAACAATGCGTACTAATTTTGCAATAAAAAATGTCGTTATAGTGGATCACGGGAAGGAGCGAAAGAGACGCATAGAGATAATGGCCAGACAACGGTCGCCACATAATGACGAAATTGACAGATCTGAATACGAATATGGACATTAGGCGATGTTTAAACTTGCCACCGTATAAAAAAAAAACGAACAAAAAAATCCATACAAAAACGGCAGAAAAAAGGTCAATTTAATAATAACATAATATGCAAGAGTGTGTCTGTCTGGGCATTCATGTATCAATGCACCGTTAGTTGTGCCATAACAAGGGCGAAAGGCCGTAAGTGCGAGCGAGAGGCAAACAATAGGGATAAAGCGAGACGGGTTTAGAACAACGGCGGTACGCACAAAGAAAGCCCAAAGCCGCGCTTACAAGCTCATTATCATCGCGATCGTCATGACCATCGGGCCCCTGCTCAAACGGTATTATAATTAACATCATTAAACAATGGATATCGGCGAAGGGAGAATCGTTGGAGATTCTTTGCGGACAGAAAGTGAGCTTTTCCCCGTTGCTTTTGTTCAGCAATTAACTGATTAAAAAGCAAAATACAAGCGTAAAACCTACATCGAGGATTTTATGTTATTTATCAGAGGGCTATAGTTGAGTAGATGGTTTATCTGAAGCCTAGAATTTAACCTTAGGGCACTGTTTGTACTACAAAAATTTACAAAAAATAAGTGTAAAAACAAGCTAGAATAATTAGAACTGTTTCTATTTTATTACCCTCTGGGTGGGGAACTTTCCTCGGCGTGTGCAACGAAATGCACAAACTAATTGGCTGGGTGATTATTGAGTGGCAGTAGAATCATCATTAGAAACGGTGACTAAAGCCTCGCAGACACATACAACCATCTGATGAGTTAAAAAACAAAACAAAATAGCCTAAGACAGCGAGAGGAGACTCGTAAGAAAGTGTTTGCGCAGTGAGTAATCGAGTTAAATGGCGCCTGAACTCACTTATCGAAGTGGGAAATGTGTTAATCAGCGACGAGTGTGAAATTGTGCAGAGCCACTAAAAAGTAAACAATTAAATCAGATGAAATGAAGCCCTAAAACGGAAACCCTTACACACAGAACCCCAATGACTTTCACGCAATTATTTCTTATCATGGAATTTTCATCGCTTTCTTATATAAATTACGGTTCCATTAATTATTTAACAGTTTATATAGAGCACAGAGTTGTTCGAAATTGACGTATAAGGTCACATAGCGATAATTTTGATAAGCCAAATGATACTTTCAGCGTGCTCAAGTGTGTTTATATGTGAATTCTTACAAAAAAAATTGTAGATTAAGTTTCTGTGTTGACAGTCTGGATTTCGATTTTGTTATTAATGCGGCAGAAGCATGACATTTTTTGTTTATATATTATACAGATATACGAGCCGCTTACTCATGCCCCAAATGCAAGATCTCTTGCTCTCTGTAGTTCTCTCGGTGCAAATATCGTAAAAAAAAAACAATATTGTCATTCACATTCTTTTCCCTTGAGTACGAAAAAAGTTTGGGCTTGTAGACGGGTGAAAAAAAAAAGAAATTCAACTGAAAGTTGTAGTTTTCAATTGAATGGCGTGCGGAAAAAAAGGAAAAGGGGGGCAGAGCGTAATATAAATTGAGTGTCAGCCGAGGAGCTTTATTAAATCTACACAATAAGCCCAGCGTTGGGGGCTGACAATTCCGATTCCAATTTGAGCACCATTCGCAATACACTGAAAAAAGCGCTATCCACTTATGTGTTCCACTGAGTTTTTAAAATATCTATTTAATTTTAAATCAAACAGAGATGGTAAAAGATACTCTTAGTTGTCAATGCTATTATTTAAACTATAATTTTTTTTTACGTGTATGTAGCAATAGCAGCTGCATTTGGTGGCGGGGCCATTTATTTGCGCTAATATCGTTCACCCCACTTGAAATGTCAGCGAACAAATAACAAAGCAGCAACAAAAACACGGCCAATTACTCAGCTTGAAGATGGAAGAGAGTGCTGGAACAACGAGAAAGAGAGCGCAGGCGTAGCAGCCAACAACTCGGAGCAGAGATCAGAGATCGGTTTTCTTTATGATCCAGAAATTACTGAAAATACGGCACACGAAGTGCAAACACAGCCCACTACAACAATGGTAACAATTAAATCAAGTGCAGCGGCAGCGGAAAAAAGTTAGTCTGAAACGCTGAAATGCAACTGGTGCAAGGTGTTTTCTTGTTTATCCAAACCTGAGCCATTTACACTGCTCAACATGGGACTTCAGCCGCACACACAGCTGGGAAAATATACGTTAATAGGGGATCGAAAAACAATGCAGGGATGAAAACTATAGATCATTTCGGCACCTTTCTTTTGATATTTTTCAAACCGGTTTTTAGGGGTCTTTAATGTCTAAAACCCCTATTTCCAGCTGAATAAATTTAGATTTGACCCCCAAAAACCTAAAAGGTTTGGAATTTTGGATTTGATAGAAAAACAGATTCAAAAGATATGTTATTTTAAAATTAGAGAATCTTCACTGTACTTTTTCGCTTGCCACTTGTTGCCTTAGTCATTGTGAATCGGTTCATTAGTAAATCAGCAATGCTGCCTACTAAAAAGCTGGAGAAAAACCTCACCTGCATTGTTTTCGAAAATGAATGGCAATGAAAATGAAAAGTACACACGCAGACAGTGGAATATTCCACATCCATTCGGTGTGTGGAAATTTAATTGCAGAAGGTTGCAACGCGGCGCGGCATTTAATTTCACTGCATATGCCGCAGAGGTCGGGTCACAATAAATGCAATACGATGGCGCCTCTCTGCTTCAATGGTTTTTCCTACCAAGCAAAAACCGCTGCACTATCAGAACCACCAACATATCGTTGGCACCACCAATAACAAACGTACATACATGCATATGTATGTACATATATCAAACATGTTTCCATTGCGGCGCCCCACTTGTTGGGATCAGTCCAAAAGATCTGAAAAGTGCGTGCCAGAAGACGAGAATTGAGAATCAAGAACCGACATTTGGTTTCAATTTACGTTCAATTCCCTTATCGCCAACGAATTATTGGACACAGACATTGCATAATGCACACTCCACAAACGGAATTACTTGTTTAGCTTGATCCCAACCATATAAAAAAAATGTTTTCAGATAGGCTTCAAGTTAAATAAGTGTTTTGGGGTCTCTTATCTCTTTTAAAGCAAAATGTCATTTACTTAAAAAATTTTAGTTTTTAGAAAAATACACAACCGAAAAGTTGAATGTTTTAAAGTTGAATAATGCAATGTCAACAAATGTGTAAGTAAGAGTTTTTTTAACTAAAAAGTTTGTTAATACTTCTCGGTTTTCAGCGCCGCCCGCTTAGGGATTTCCCTAGGGAAAAGCCGGCAAAAATCCTTCACCAACTCACCACGCCAAAAAACGGAACAAAACCGAAAACCCACCCCGCCCAAGCAAAAAAAAAAATGAGGTCACAGAGTAAATTTCAGCAAATTTCGCATGAAAAAAAAATTCGCAAAGGGGGAATACCGGAATACTGGACAGAAAAGAAGGCATGAAGGTGAAAATTGAGGAAGACGCACCCAGCAGCAGCAGTTTCACCTCCGAGGCGGCCCTCTCGCCCTCCGCCCTCAAGGCGCGATCGATGTTCTTGGACCGTTCGATGGCCTCTTTATCGCGTGCTGTACTCACGGCACAACCCATATTGGCTTTATGTCTTTATCGCGTTTCGATCCGGTAACTTGGCAACAGTGCTTTTTCGCTTTTCCGGCGATTTCCGCACTTTTCACTCGCGATTTTCGGCGGCTTTCGAGATGCGTCTGCGCGTCGTCGGCTGTACACTTTTTTTCTACTCTTTTCGTTTTTTGTGTTTCCACCTCTCTTCCTTTCACACGAACACACCACACATGCGCACAGGCACGCACGCACACACAGGAGATCTGCAGACGCTGTTTTTGGGTTTTTTTTAATATTAACCCAAAAGCACCGCTATTTTTTGGGTTTTAACTGCAGCGGCAGAGCCGATTTGATTTCTTTTGTTGTTTAATTTCGCTTATCCGCCGATTTTGCTACGCGCAATGATTCACTTTTGATCGTTTCAGTGTAACCGTTTCTTGCGTTTTAAAGATCGATTTAGTCTGACCAGATGGTGAAATGGCTTCAATTCTAAAAAAGAGCCCTGGTTGAAAACTTAGATTGGTGTGTGGCCAATGTTTAAGGTTTGAATCTCGGGTTACTGAAAACGGTGGCATCATTGCACGGTAAATTCGAACTGCCAACTTAATTTATTTAACGACTTCCTGGGCGGTCAATTTAAAAGTAACCACATTTTAATTTTTTTTTAAATTTTATTTACTTTGTATTTTCTATAAACAAATCTTTTAACTACCCAAATAATTTTGTTTCGCTTGGTCAATTAACAATTATAATTTCATTATGCCCAACTTGCCCTTTGCCTTTTGGCTTTGTTTGTTGTTATAGCGCTTTAAGTATAAATAAACATAACCGAAAATATGTTGTTGTTCGGAAATGCAGCCGATCGTCTGCCTTTCTTTCTCTTTCTCTTTCTCCCGCAATATGCGCGCAAGCCGAGGGAAAAAGTTCTCAGGGCCCTGGCATAAATAATATTTGCCTTTTGGGACAATACAATTTCGAATTGGACTCCAAATGTTTGCAGTTGCATTTGATGATGGTACAGTGAAACTTTTTTAAAAGGATCTACTTTTAACATCAGCAGTAAAATAAATCTCAAAATTTGTTGTTTCTATAAAAAAAACTATTTGTTACCTAAGTATTAAAAAATACCGTTGATTTAAAAATAAATTTTATAATACGCTATCAGAACTTTTAAAATATGTATTTATATTTAAGCAGTTAGGAACTTTTTATGGAACTATTTCTTTTCAGTTTCAAAAATGAAATAAACTTCAGATTTCAGTTAGTTTTAGAGAAGTTTTCCTGTACTCCCGAATCAGTGATTATTAAAAGAAATTTGTGGATCGCGGGCTTTCCGCAGCTAATTTATCTAAACAAAAAGATGCAAAGACGAGGCAGGAAGATGGGGTCGCAGTGCAAAAGTTTCGCCGCCGTTGGAGGACGTCGCATGTGGCCCCCGTTTCCCCCAAACCCCGTCGCGTGCGCCCCTGTAAATAGAGGCCATCAACGGGTCATGATTTACACATGTTTACACGAAATGTGCGGCATTTGTTGAGGGGCGTGCAAGGGAGAAGGGGGATGGGAAAAAAGGGGATCGGAATAGGGATCTTGATCCCGTTGCCTTATGAATGAATGATCGTTTCTGCTTCTTTTTCCACCTCCTCTGTAATTTATCGTAAAAAGCGCAGGCTAGGAAAATATGGATTTCTGCGGTTTACCCTGGATGTGCGAGAGGGAGGGAGCGAGGTGGCCTCTTTGGGTGGTCCTCTTCTCCATCTCTGTCGCTCTCATTGCTGCCAGATCAGGCGCATGCTGCCCGCATTGTTATTGTTGTTGTTGCTTCTGCACCGAACAGTCGGAATCCCAAACTGTTTGCTGATGCCAACGAATTTGACGAACGTCGGCATTTCATCCAAAACTTCAATCGGCAGCAAAAACCAAAAACAACAAGAGCCCAAGCCAAACAGCAGATAGAAGAAGAGTATGAAGGAGCAATTACAAGGATGGGCAAGGCCTTGAAATAGATTACCGTTAGCTAACCCACACACCATATGTACAGTGAGAAAAAGTTCGAAAACTAAAATCGCTTATGAAAATAGAGTTAAAAGATTTTTATTTCTTTTTTCTTATTTAAAAAAAAATTATTAAGAAATATTAATAGTTAGTCTTATAATAAATAAAGCTTGCATTTTTTGCGTTAATATTTTTTTCAGTGTCTATACAAAGAGTTTGGCACATGTGTTATGGCACTGGGCAAACTCAAGATTGTGAAGATTAATTTCGTCGATAATTTGGGAAGCTGGAAGTTTTAGTTTCAGACGGAATCTTTTGGAGGCCGTTGAAAGGTGGAACAGACAGGCGGGAAAGCCCCACATTTCCCTTGATAATCATCCATTTGCCACTCCGCTTTCAATCTTCAGTCGCAGTCAAGTGAAGTTGCAGACTGCAGACACGAAGAATTTAAAGAGCACTGATGGATTCTCCACGCGTCGATCGTCAGATGAACCGATTGATTTTCGGCACTTTTTCAAAAGACTTAAAGATGCTGACAAGGAGGAAATCAAAAAGATTGAGAAAACGGAGAGGTGTATTTTACACAGCAGTTAATAAAGAAAGTCATAAATGGCTCTATAATAAGGGTTTTCCTAGGTTTTCCGAAGATCTAAGTTCGTTCCTGATTTTTGAGGCGAAAACAAAATAGTTTGGAAGTTTTTTGTCCGGTTTCTTTCCACTAGTGATTCCCAAAAGTTCCGATATTATTAAATTGTCCTGTAAAGAATCGATTTAAAATTGATTTATGTTTAATGCATGTTTTCTTTGCCAAACCAACATAAAAGAAACCCCTCTGCCAGCTTACCCCATTAGCCCCATAAATTCCAGCGATTTGCCAACAAAATGAGGCCGCAAAATCGTAAAGGCAGAGCGAATAATCTCTTCAACTAAATTTAGACGCTTCGATTTGTTTGCACTGCGATAAAGTAATAATTACCCCAAAAAACAGCAGAGCAACGAACATATATTACACTGATCCCCATTCGATCAATGGCACCCCAAGGCAAGAAAAAATATAAAAATAAAAGAATCGAGCTGGGAAAAAAGTATTTTGAACTATTGGATCGTCTTTTGCCGACAAGTGTGACGATGGAAGGGGTTTTATCTTTTTTGTTTACATTGGGCAAAGGAAAAAAGGCCATACGGTTGCAACCTGCCCGAAGAAAAGGGGAAAATCGGTCCGCGGCAGGAAGCAAAAGTCGCCGGCAGTGCAATTGAATTGCCATAAAAATGTAAAGCACCGAAAAAGCGGGGTGAGAATGAATCTATTGGTATCCACCCACTCTGAAATTTTTAAGTTCCCTGGGTATCTGGATTTCGGTTAATCTTTGTCATGCATCTGGTATCTAGAAACTGCAACTAGTTAGTCTTACGTGGGAGCTTTTAAGCACCCGCCAGCTGATATTTTGCAGTTTTCCCCCAAAAAATAACACTCGCAATTCATCCAAAGCAATCTTTTCTTTTCAACAATTGTTTTCGCTTAAAATTTTAATATTTTTCCCTGGTCAATCTCGCCGCTCTTCACTCTCAGTCTTCGTTGGAGTCCAGGGTTCTGGCATCGTAAACGGTGCAGGGAAACGATGTTATATCACTTGCCTAAGTCTGGGCATTGCCTGTTCTTCCAGTAGCTATTTTTGCCAGATTTTAGTTGATGCTTTATGGCTTTATAATGTCTGAGCACGTTCCGTTTTATGATGTGCCCGTAAAATGGACCCGATTCATGTTGGGCGCCCGGCAACAATATGGTAATTTGTTGGCCATTATATGATCTGGTACAGCAGGGGATGACTTCTGGTATTGCCTGTTAAGGTTTGGTAAGAATATGAAAAAGTATTTGAAATAATATAATATAATAAAATATAAAATCTAAAAAAACAAAAAAAGTTCTGAAAAAATTAAATCAGCTTAATGTGAATTCTAGTTGAAATTTAGCCTTGGCTAAAATTTTGTATTTCTTACCTATGACCTCTTAGATTCCTCTTCCTCGGATACATTCTTTTCCTGTTTACCAAAGGACTGACACTTTTCCAGGAGCTTGCTGAAAAGTCCCTTCTCACTTTTCACGGCTGTTTGTTGGCCGAGAACCAGCAAAGTACTGCGACACTGCAACAAAAGTCGGCACATTTTCGAACTGTTTCCGAGATTGACGGGTAGAAAACTAAAATCTGAAGTCTCAAAGCCGATACAACTTTCCTTCGCCGCTTACTTTGTTTTTAGTAAGAGAGTCCCTTTTATTATTCACATTCGTCTTTGGATTTGTCATCCTTTCCATCTTTTCCACCTTTTCCGCCGGACTTATTTTTGCAGCGCGGGCCGGTGGGAAAAACAGCTTAAAAAAAAAAAAATGTACTGGGCCTTATATAACAAAACCTAACCTACGTCTTCCGCAAATATCCGTCTTCTGCTTCTTTTTTTCTCATCGTCGTCCTTACATTCATTGTCTGCCTCGCCTTTTTTCCCCGAATCAGCCATTAAGCGTGGACTAAATCGTCCTGAACTTGATTTCAGTAAAGCAATAGTTCGCTGTCTAAACATTTTTAGTGGTCCAAATATGACTTATTTAAAAGTCTTACTATAAAAATTTTGATAGGACTAGGGTCCAAATGAGAAATTCAAGTCGCTTTGATTAGATTGATAAAGGTGTCTTAGATTTATCTTTAATAATAAATCTAATCAGAGGTCATATAGGTTGTAGCGAAATTTAACTTTTAAATTTTATATAGAATCACTAAATTATCGATCGATTTAAATTGATTTCTTCCTGCCGAAACTCTTAAGGCAGGATTTTGAGTTGGGTGTTAAAGAAAATCCATGAGTAATTAGACGAGTTAGCGATCAGCTCCTCAATTGCTTGCTTTGCGTCTTGTGGTGTTCGGTTTTGGTTTCAGTTGCAATTACAAGCCGAGTTTCCAGTTCCCCGTGGCTACTGCTTCCAAAATCGATCTCAAGTGGCGACCACACAGTAACCTCCTACTTTTGTTTCGGGAAAGGGAGTTGAAAAAGCAAGGAAATCGTCGAGGCGGCGCCACGTCAAAATATTTGTCGTCAGCGCCTCAATGGTTTCGATTTATGGTGCGGATAATTAGGCGACTGCTGCGTCAAGATGTCGCCGTCGATTAAACCCAAAAAAAAAGGACCTAATATTTATTTTTGGTCTCCCCGATCCGCTGAAAACCACTTGAACACGATATTGGTCTGCGGTTCTGATTGCTTTTGCCTTTTAACTAATGATCCGGTGATGATTGATTGTCAAAATTAGGTTAAAATTAGGTTCTAGAAAAATAAAGGTATTTAAATGAGAATGAAAGAGTTTAAAAGAAAATTTCTAAGAAACAGATTTCCTAAATTTGAACCTAGGTAAAATCGAACTGAAAACCCTTGAACTCAGGTGATTTTTGCAAATAAAAAATAATTGTTAGGCTGATTTTACCTTCGGATCTTTAAAACCATTTAAGCAAATAGTTCCAGCATTCAACTGTCAAGCTGTGGAACACAAACCATGACATTTCAATGTTGGGCAAGCGTTTTTCCCCGGTTTCGATTATTTTTAGGCCCCACAGGTGCGCTGCCCTCGAAGGCCAAAGACTGGGATCCGTAAAAAACGCGTGTACAAAAGCCCTGGAAGAACAAAGCGAACGACACGGAAGAATTGGACGGGGGAAGAGCCGAAGAGAAGACGGGGAGACCAATGACGACAATGAGCGTCAATTGAAACGAAACAGATGCCATTCAATGGCGGAGATACAAGCGATACAAGATACAAGATACAAAATTGGGATTGCGGATTGCAGGAGAAAGACCAAAAAGACTGAAAGACTGGAGACTGTAGATCGTAGATCGTTATGTGTGATCGGCCATTTTGGCAAGGGTGCTTAAACGGAAAGATTAATTACTGCCAACGTTGCGGAATCGATCGGTCGATGAAAAGCGAGTAAATCCCGACGATCAGATGTTCAGTCTCAGTTTCCTGTTCTTCACTTGGCTGTGAGTCAACGCATTTAAGTACCGGCCATTAAACTAAAAGCTAAACAACAACAGCCAACGGCCAAAGTGGAGAATCGGATGCGATCGAATCGAATCGTATTGGTTTTTCGGGCATCCGAAGTGCCCAGCGATTCTTTTTGGTCTTTTTCAAAGTAATTTGTAGATCGCTCTCCAAGTTTCCGTCCCGCTCTTTCTTCCAGTCTTCTGACCCTCTTCTTTTTTTCTTAATTTTTGTACATTTGGCGCAATTATTGCGCACCAAATGGATCGCAAGTCTATAAATTGTTCGATTTTATTGCGCCAGCTTCGACAGTTGAATGGCGCAAAAGCGCCAAAAGAGGAGGAGGCTGTGGGCCTCTTGGAGGCGTCTCTGAACTTTTACTGCGTCTGCCCATGGTTTGCATAGTTTGGCAATGCCATCGACAAGCCGACAAGCCGACGGCAGATTCTTGGCCATCTTGCGCAAGGCGCCCATCTTGGATTCGTGCGAACACACGCGAACGAACACACACATCCACATATTTCACAGCGGCCAAGGTGTTTATGGCCAACTAAAGTGCCAAAGTGTGGCAATCGTTGGTCACAACAGGAGGCGAGAGCCAAAAATGCAATTAGCCGAACAGGTACAGCACAATTATAGTTAAGAGAACAAAGGAATTTTCAATGTTATGTAAGGGATACAATTTTCTATGATTTTATATGCTAAAATGTAAGGCATAAATATCATTGAAAAGTTATTGGAAAAATCGTTTAAAATTTGTTATATTGTTTTAAGTAAATGTTTTTTAAACACCTACGCTGCCATTATTTTAATAAGTTCAGCTTAGGAGAATATCAAGGTTCATGGCTTAATATTTTCTTAATATTTTCTCTACCTTTTATCTAGCTTTTCATGAACTAATAAAACCCTTTCCGCTTCCGTTTACTTATAGCAAGGCAAAACTTCTGTTTAATTTCTCTAGTCGCTTCCTATTTATACATCCCTGCAAATCCCGTCCAGATGAACTCACCTTTTTGAACTTAAAGCAACAATTTTCCAGTGTTTATCGCACTCAAGTTTGTCAACCGCATTAGCCCAAACAAGATCGAATCCACTTAACCAGAAATGCTCGCATTTAATGGGAAATAAAACGTGGAAATTCATAAATATTTACAAACACATAATTACAGTCGTGGGAAAGAACAATAACAACTTAAGATCGTGGCTGGTTAAAAAAGAGCAAATAACGCGATGTTTGTGTATTTCATTTCGGCTTTTGGCCACAACACGTGATCCTAATCAAGACTGTGATAAACAAAGTCCGGTGGCCATAGAATGGGATCAGATCAGATCAGATCAGATCGGAATCGGAATCGTTTAGAGTGAGATCTAAGCAACAAATTGCACACAGCCGAATGTAAATATTTAAACAAAGTCTTGGCCAACCGAAGATGGGCGAGGGGCAGCGGAGTTTAACTAGACGGCATAATTTTCGGGTCGAAAACTCTATGTAAATATTTTGAAATTTCCTTCTTTTTTTCCAGATTTCTCCTCTACGGCTCTACGGTTCTATTTGATTATTTATTGGTAGACTGTTTAATAAGCCAGGGGGCGTGGATCGAGGCGATCGAGGATCGGTTTAGGTGCAATTGTTTGCTTTCACCAGTTGTTGTAGGTCAGTGTGCAAAAACAAATCCGAATGCGGCTTCTTCTTGTGTACACAAGTTGGTGGTGCTGGTGGTGCTGGAGGTGCTGGTGGTTGTGTTTAGAGTACAGCGTTTAATTGTTAAATGTTTATTAAAACTACAGTTTAAACAATGCCTGAGATGCCCATCCAGGAGCAGCGAACGGGCATCAATGGGATCGCCAGGGATAGAATCGGAGATCGGCCGGCTCAACGCGTCGTATACATAATTTTGTTTACAAACAGCCATAATAGTAAACAATTTTCGGCCATTTAATAACATTAACATTAAAATTAAAAGCAAAACAAGAAGCACGCCTTCCGTCTATGCCAACTTATCTTTATTATGATTATCTGAACTTGAAATCGGAACAACAATGTGGAATGATGACGACTTTTGTTTGGGAATTCCCTTGTCTGTGTTTATGGATCTGTGCTATGACCACAAGAAGAGCTCACTTGGCCAGGTTATAGAACCCAGATAGTCTATAGACTTTTGCGGATTAAATGCAAGATGGCTGGAATCCACTGGCGGAACTGTTGACCCAGTTAAGATGACGCATACGCACTGGGTGGCCAGTGCATTTCGGTCGGACTCTGGCTATAAATAATCGCCCATAAAGACAAGATGTCGTACCGGGAAATGCAAATATAAATCCGGCGGCGGGAAACCATATTGGATATTTCTTGCCAAACATTTTTCTCAAACGGAAACTGTCAAAATATGGTCTGGCTATCTTTGATCAATTTTGCAGTAAATATTCTGTGGGCAGTAAATGTAATCCCTGCTCCATAAATCAATTTGTTGGGGGAAACTGCTAATTTTTATTATATGTTGTATTTGTCCTTGAAAATACAAAACAGACATGGGAAAAATAGATACGTTATAGGAAATCTTTCGTTGCGGAATATTTTGGAAAATAAAATTTCCAGACTTACTTTCTATATAATAAAATAAAATTGTTTTAAACAAAAAGGTATATCAAAAAGGTTAATAAATTGTTTTGCTAATAAAATGTGGCCTTTCCCACATAACTTGATGTTAATAAAGCTTATGCGAAAACAATAAATCATTACGGATTGCCACAGGTTTTCGTAAATTACTGCCAGGCCTAATTGTACATGGTTTTCCCATTTCTAGGAATCCATCGCCGCACAGAGCAATTAATTAATTTCCCGCCATTTCAGGGTCTGTGAGCTATTGGTGGGGCCTGCTTAATTTATTCCTCACTCGCAGAAAAATTCCTGAGTGCGAACAAAACAAAAACAGCGGGCAAAACGAAAAATAAGAGAAAAAACGGAATAAGAAGAAGTAATAATAATCAAAAGTAAAATTAATTTATGGCCTCCAAACCGCAGAAGCCACAAGAAAAATGGCCAAAAGTGAAAAATATCTGAATGACCCAATGGAAATTACTAAAGGCGGAGGAATTCTGAAATTCGGAAAACCCGAATGGGGGTTCTGCGAAATTCGCAGAAAATGGCGAGTGGCTTGATATACGGGTCGGAAAAAGCGAAAAAGTGGCGGATGGAATTAAAATATCTTTCAGGCCGCGTCCGCAAGACAGCCAAAAAATAAAAGAAGAAGCCCGTCGAACGGAATTTTCTCTCCTTCGATTTTCTCAATCAATGCCCGATGCCGTCGACAAATAGAATTTCGTGAAATGTAAACAAAACTCCGCCCCCGTGTGTTCCTCCCACCTCTCTGGCACCACAAAATGTATCTGTATCTTAGTGTGTGCCCCTGTGTATCTCGTTTCGTCTTTTGGGGAACCGAGCCGAATTGAATCGTTGCCCCGGCGACAGCGAAGGAGAAAGCGGGAAAGCCGCTCGGGCAGAGCGAGAAGGAGCGAAGGAGACAGCGGCGTCGCCATCGTCTCCGTTCAGGGAAGTAGTCTTGTGGGGGATCATTATCTTTTAATAGTTAGTTCCTTTTAAAGGATCTTACTATTTACTTAATTAATTACTTATTATTACTAAATACTTATTGAATTTATAGCTTAAACAAATTAACTTAAATATTTTTAAAACAGTTCATCAAAGTATGATACAGACTTAAAGCGTAAAGAAAGTAAACTTTTTATCTTTGGTATTTTTTACCTACTATGAAAAATACTAAAACCTGCGATAGTTAAATTACCTTTGTAATTTTTGGAATGTCTTGTAGGCTTTTATACTATATTTATATTTTAAAAATGTTTTGAACCTCTCAAAATTTAAATGTCTTGTTTGTTAAAAGATTTTTGATAATGAATTGGTTTTTCATTTATTATATTTAAATATTTTATTTTCTAAAAAGTGCCCCTCTACGCCCATGTTTCCGTGGCCGTCACGGTCGTCTTGCTGCCAACGAGTCGGCGGCGTAGTGCTGACAGCAATGGCGGCACTCAGGGGTGCTGCTCTCCGGCGGCGTTCCGCCCGGACTCTCAGTACCGCTCCCGGTCCGATCCGATCCAATCCGATCCCCACTCCAGATTCTGGTCCGGATCCGTGCCAGGCAACGACTAAATCAATTAACAGCTCGTTTCGAAATTCGAATGCCGCCTCCAGCAACGCCAGCTTCCTTTTTTCCACCGAATCTGAATCCGCTGGCACAGCTAAATGGTAATTCATTCGGGCTAATTGCGGGGTTCGATCTTCGAGGATCTTTTCTTCTTCTGCTTTTGACTATTTATTAACTGTTGACTGGCAACGGGGCAAAGAGGCCTCCCGGCGGGGAAATGGGTGCACAAAGGTTGCCAATGGTTTGACTCAATCCGAATTCGTGTCGGAAATAATAACCATAATGAGTCAGTAATCAATGGGGTCCGATCGCAGTGTTTGGGGTCATGGGGGTGTAAATGCAGAATGGATTCAAAAACTCTTTGAACCGATTATTGCAATTATACACAGGGGTTGTGTTTACCTAAAATGTATTTCAGAGTGCCAAATTTATATGCGTAAATACGGATAATATGAATTATTGCAAATACGTTGTTAGTAATCGCAAATTCTTAGTAAATCTAGATTTTAAGATTTATTAAATTACTTGATTAATGATCTAGAAGGTGATAATAATAAAATATTACTAATTTTCTCATACATAAATAATATAATTAAAAAAGGTTTAAATTGTTAAGTATAAATATTTCAAGGTAAATAGAGCATATATAGGTGTATTTAAGTATCTGTAAGATTGTTATCTTTATCCCCAGTAACTGAACCCTATAATAGCTCGATTTTCGCTCGATTCCCATTTAAGTTTCACAAATACCTGGCATACCAAAGTCCCCTATCTAAAAGTACTCCAATAACCGCAGTCCCCCAAGGCAAAGACCTGGATAATTCCACATCATTTGCATTTTCTCAGAGCGGAAAAGCCTGTAACTAGCCAATTGGCATCGGGAAAAAGAGAGCAATCCAAACATATACAAGCGTGAAAACCAAGAGAGAGAGAGAAAATCGAGCGATTTGCGTAAGGCGTGGGCGTACTAAAAAAAGAATTCCGAACTCAAGTGGATCGCATCGGTTGGGATCGGGGTTTTAGCTTCGCTCCAGGACCGATTTGCCTTCAGTTGAGTGAGAATAGCCAAGCGGAACGGTCTACTGCGCTTAGAAAAATAGAACTCCGCCGGAAAATACTATCGTGTTTTAAAAACAAACTCCCAAAATAATTATATAAAAATATTTAAAAAATATTCTAAAAACCAGTGCCATATAAAAAACTAAAGTGAAAATGATCAAGAGTGAGGAGGTGTCGGATCGCTCGGTCATGTCGATGGATCAGCTGGGCTACTACCACGATCCCCGCGCCCATCCGCCCTTCAGCCACACCCACACACACACCCTCCCCCCGCACAGTCACCCACATTCGGGTCATCTCTACAGATCGGGAAATATATTAACTGGCGGAAATTACCAGACAATGGGTGGCGCAGAATCACCCACGGAGATGGTGGACGAGAAGCCGAATATCGGCTACATGGAACTGCAGCACTACATGGATGTCACGCCCACTGCCACGCCCGTTTCGGCCGCCCAGCATTATAGTTTGAGTGCGCTGCACAGCATGGGAACACCGCCGGCATCCTCGAGTCCCATTCCGCCATATGGAGTTCTGATGACGGCCCATTCGGCGGGATCCGCCTCGCCGCAATCGAACTCCAAGACTCCGACGGATCTGCCGCAGGATCTGCAGTACGTGAGCTCCACATCGAAGACCCAGCCGCTCCAGGTGCAACTGCAGCCGATGAACCACCAGTATGCCTCCACCATAAAGTACTGTTCGAACAACACGATCCTCAGTGCCAACGACTACCAACTGCTGACCAGCCACGAGGTGGAGCAGCAGCCGCCGCAGCAGGTGCAAACGCAGCAGCTCCAGCACTCGCCGGGGGGGTGCCTACCTGCCCAGGATCTCCGCCTCGCCCAGCCAGGTGATCAGCAATGCCCACGGAATGCCCGTTCTGAGCTACTCCAGTTCGAGCTCCTCGCCCGCCAAGTCGCTCAACGGATCGGACTCCTCGCCGCCCAGCCAGAATCAGCAGGGCAACAAGGCAGCTGGAAACGGAGGTGGAGGATCCTCTGGCAGCCAGGATCCACCCAACACTCCGGACACCACCAAGAAGTCGGGCACCCGACGGCCCGAGAAGCCAGCCCTCAGCTATATCAATATGATCGGACACGCGATCAAGGAATCGCCCACAGGGAAGCTGACCCTCTCCGAGATCTACGCTTACTTGCAGAAGAGGTAATTATAAATAATTAATAATTAATAAAATAAAAAAAAATATTAAAAAGGATCAGGTTTGGTGTAAAACATTTCATTGATTTTTGGTAATATACGGGAAGGTTTCTTAAAACTCGGAAATCTATTGTAATTTAAGCTGAGGATTTTTTGTATGGTTTATGAATACTTCAAATTACGTTTTAATATTAAAATACATTTTAATAAATCTTTTTCCAAGATTGTTTTCTAATTAGAAACAATATTTTCTAGTTGGAATCTTATATTCCATCCTACTTTATTTTCTTTAATATACACACAGAGGATCTATTTTATTCATTAGCTACAAAGTGTCGTTTCAGCTTACTAAGCGACAATACAATGTATTTTACAACTGAAAAAAGCTCTTCAAAATTATTGTAGATTGTTCTTAAATCACTTGGCCGTAAAATTACTATAAAACTTTAACGTTTCCCAATTTCCGTTATAAATCTCAGACGGAGCCAATTGGCGACATCGACGATCCGGCATTGCCAGCGGACAGATATGGAATACTATTATCAAGCCGCGCGATCAATGTCGAGCTACAAAAAAAATGTGTCGCTTGGGTTTATTTACTTGCATCCGATTTTATTTGGCCAACTCGACTTGCCTGATGCGCATCCTTCAGATAGCTCATATTTCTCGCCGATTGTTTGGGTTTCGATTTCGATTTCGGCGACGTGACGGGGATCCACTTGAGCTTTAAATGGGGAAGTCCGGGGAAAGGGGGGATATCACATGCGTGAGAGGCTTTTAAGCTGACAACGTTTGTTTTTTTTTCTGACGACGAGCTCGGATCGTCCCAAAAAAAGTTTTTAATTGAGTTTCGCGAGCGCAGTAAAATAAATAAACGCTCGATAATCAATTTTCGACTTTCGGGACAAAGCGAAATTAACTAACTAAGTTTTTTAAACTCAGCTCATATTTTTTATTTCAAGGGAAGATTTTGTTATTAAAAGATATTCGGAGAATTTATTAATTATTAAGTATATGATTAATATTGATTATGTTATATTAATTTTTAGTTCATATTCATCAATCTGATTGGCTTCTAATTAGACTTTATTTACCTCTTTTGCAGCTATGAATTTTTCCGAGGACCGTATGTGGGCTGGAAAAACTCGGTGCGTCACAATCTCAGCCTGAACGAGTGCTTCAAAAAGCTGCCCAAGGGAATGGGAGTTGGAAAGCCGGGAAAGGGAAACTACTGGACCATCGACGAGAACTCGGCGCATCTCTTCGAGGACGAGGGCAGCTTGAGGCGACGTCCCAGGGGATATCGCTCCAAGATCAAGGTCAAGCCGTATGCCGGTCATGCCAATGGATACTACACTGGCAGCTACGGGGATGCGGGAATGGTAAGTTAAAAAAAAAATATAAAAAACCTTTAAATATATTAAAAAGTATTTGAAAAATCATAATTTTTTATTTCGACGTTTTAATACAAGAGCAATTTTGTTCTTAAAATAATTTTCCTAAAATTGAGAAATATCTTTATAGTATATCAATTAAATGGTTTTGTTTTTAATGCTTTCCTTTTTGTTGTTTTAAAATTTTTCTTTCTAATGGGATTTTTTTGTTCTCCAGGACAATGCCAACTTCTACGCCTCGCCCGCCTTCGCCAGCTATGATTACTCCTCGGCAGGAGCCAATGGCGTCTCTCCGGCTGGCGGTCAAGGATTCGGGGATCCCTGGAACGCCCACGCCGCCCACAGTGGCTCCTCCTCGGTGGGCATGGGCGTGGGTCCCCTGCCGCAGTACTCGAACATATCCTGCCTGGCGCCGGGGGAAATCTCAACGGTTCCGCCTCCACGCCCCCGCTGGCCCACTCCGCCTTGGGAATGGCCCCTTCGACGGCGGGCTCCTCCAATTCTCCGCTGGGATCCGCGGCGGCGCTTCAAAGCGATTATGCGCCAACCGCGAGTCTCGTGGCCGCTGGCTATTCCTATTCAAGTGCCGGCAGCTTGGAAAACGGTAAGTGAAAGTCAAGCTACACTGAGGGAAACAGTTAGTCGAGTTCTAGATTGCAGATAGGTTTATAGGAGATTTTAATATATTTAAAAGTACCTAGACAGAACGGAAAGAAAGCATTTCCAATTTTGCCTAATTGCATATGAAAAATTAATTCGCCTAAGTTCATGGACTGTTCATCAGTTGATTATTCTTATTTTGTTAAAGTTAGATAGTGCATTTTTCTCAGTGCAACCACTTGAAGGGCACAGGGCAGCTCTGTGAAGGGGGATCGCAATGATCCTGGGTGTTCGCGTCAATCAGGGTAATTTAATTGCTGACGGTTCACATCTCGTATTACCAAGGGCGAGGGAGTTGGGGTAACAACATATGGTAATCTATGCCGCACTCGATCGACTCCCCTTCGTTCTTTTTTTTTTTCATAGTTGCCGCCGACGTCGCGGCGCAGTGTGAATTTTAGCGCTTGTCCATAAAAACGAGAACTGCAATTTTAATCGGTTTTCATGTCCACGTTTTTCCGCAGGTCTCCGCTCGTTTTCGCTGCAGCAGCTGCCCGGATTGTCCAGCATTCAGCATGCACAGGCTCAGGCTCAGGCGCACCACCATCACCACCTCCAGCACCACCAGAACCACCAGAGCACCCAGAACCACCAGAGCCACCAGAACCACGGAGCCATCAACCAAAATCACGGCTCCATGACTCCGCCGCCATCGCAACCGAGTGGCAATCATGTGATCGACCATTCGCTCATCGATCGCTAACCGGTTTACCTTTCACCGATCACCCAACCCCAAAACCCCAACTTCAATGGCTCAGAATGGCGGCGATGGATTCTACGATGGCTTCACCAATCGGCCTTTCTTGCGGGGCCAGCATTGATCATTATTACCTCAAAGGATACAATAATCACGTTTAATTAGGCTCTAAGTAGTGGCACACAAAAGATAGTTGCATAGTGCTTAGAAGGGAATTTACACATAAATAAATCTACTGTACGCATAGCAATAAAATATTTATATATTAATACTAAATGTTCTTTTCTGACTAGACCAATAACCAATCTTACTGAGTCAATGGCTAAAATAATTTTAGTGGGATACCTCTAAACGTTTTTAATGGGAATACAGAGATGTTTGATTCATAAATATCTCTTGGTGCCAGATTTTTCCAAGTTTTCAATGGCTTCCAACATAGTGACCCAAATCTTAACTTTCAGAACTAACAACTTTGTCAATTTTAATCCGATTCCAAAGTGGCATAAATCTAAACGTTTGTAATCGCATCCTTGAAAAAACCTAATTTTTAATGTTTCATTTTGCGATGGTCGAAATTTTGACCCCTGTTCATGTCGGATTTTTCCCAGTTTTCAATGGTATTCAGCATAGTGACCTAAATCTCGACTTCCAGAACCCACAACTTTGCCAGTTTTAATCGGTTTCCAAAGTGCCATATTCCTTAATAATTGTAATCGCATCCTTGATAAAACTGCATTTAAAATTTTCTATTTTCCGATGGTTGATATATTGACCCATGTTCACGTCAGATTTTTCCAAGTTTTCGATAATGTGCACCTAATACTGTCTTTCCAAATGACATGGCTTTGTCAATTTTAACTCTATTTTAAAGGGGCATCTCTCATGTTATTAAATTTTTGTAATGTCCTGAAATGTTTTTCAGTGCAATCGTTACTTTGATAAGGTTGAGGTCTTGGATAGATGTAAGTATGAAGGTTCTGCGTGTAAAATGATAGAGGTCTTTGGCGCTGCATGTACTGTGTAAATATCCGATGTGAGGCGCCAGTAGTACGGTTGGATATGTTGAAAAAAGTTATCGAAAGGGCGCATTATGTTTAAACATTTTAAACACAACATATTTAAAATAGTACGGGTTACAATAACCTTATCGGTAAAAGTCAACCGATTCTTTGTTTAGTAATTTATTCAATTTTTTGGATATTGATATCTATAGATATTTTTAATATTTTAATATTAAGATATAGTTTAATGTTAAACTTGACAAAGACAAGTTTTGTGTTGACAGTTTTATTTCAATAACTTGTTAAATAAAATCTTTTTTACTTTCACGTTTTTATACCATTCTAGAGGATATTATTTATTATTTGGTGAAAATAAAAAAGGTTCCCAAGAGCTTTTATTACATATGTATAATTTTCTAAAAGAATGTTTAAGGAAGAAACTACAGTTGTGCAATTTGCAGAAGATAATGACAAGTTAATTGAGCCACAACTGGATAACAATCCAGGACCCATTCAAAAACAAATCAGCTCAAATTTCGGACACAATACCGGTCGCATTGTCCGCAAGATCAACAATCCAATTATTCTGTTAATTGTCTCACCTTTATGAGCAAATTAAAATCCTGCCCAGAGTCAAATGGACCCAAGTCTCAGGGCAGGACGAAGCCACTAGCCATTGTCCTGCGAGGCGAAAAGGCAGCGGCAATCGCATCAAGAAGTCGTCGCCGCTGATCATTATCTCGCAGGACACAGGACGCAGGACGAGACGCAGGACAATCCGGGGATATGCAGGGACAAAGCTGGCAAAGGGAAAAAAGGAAGGGGAGGGGAAAATGGGAATGGGATTGCGGCTGAGTCTCAGCCGAAAAGCCAAAGACAAACACAAGGCTGGAAACGAAGCGAAGTTTTGAGTGAAAAATTTCACAGTCAAAGGATAATCGGGATTAAATCTTCTTGAAAAGTTAATGTTTACACACGCACCTACCGTTGGCGATGAGCGAAAAAAAGATGCAAAAATTATGAAAATATTGTCACAAGTGCACAGCAGCCAGCAACTGGCAACTGGCAAACCAGCGCAGAGGACCGCAAGGATCGGCAGGACGAGCGAGGCTGGACCGGAGCGAACAGGACAATTGCAGGCGGCAATCAAAACATGCAATTGTCCGTTTCGCATCGCTTCGTTCCGCCTCGAATCGAACTGCAAACGAACCGAAAAACCACAAAAAGGACGAAGGACGTCCAGGCAGCAGGACACTGGACTCACTGGACTCCGAGGCCGAGCCGTCGTAAGAGGATTTGCGCGTCAAGTAAACACACGATTGGCAGAGGAGTCCCCAGCCAGGATACATGCGATTGAGCGAAGCCTGCAGGACGAACGAAAAACCAAATCGAAGATGCACAGCCTGCATAAATAAATAAATAAATAAAATGATTTGAACATTTTTATTTTCGCACAGCACAGAGAGAGGACGAAACATTTTTCTTTGCGCTAAAACAAACAATTTTTTTAAAACCGTTTGTTGCACTCGTATTTACTTTAAATTTATGCGAAAATTAAAAACGTTTTTCGCAAGGATTTCCAGCTGCCCGAATGTTTTCATAGACGATCCATACCAAATTGTCCGAACACCGGAGCGGAGCGAACAAAAATATAGATTTCCCCATAAACATGGTCCATTCAAAAAGAGTTTTCCATTGCGAATTTTCCGCTTTTGCTCTGGAATCAAACCGCCTTCCCCTTCGACGACCACCGCCAACATCTCGAGTATGTCGCGTATTTCTCTTACAAATAAACAAAAGTCTTGTTGCAATAACATGGCAGGGAATATTTATTAAATAAACATTAGACCAGCAGCCGAGCAACAGATACGAGAGGCAGTTACAACTTTGAATGGGAAAGACGAGGCAAGGTGTTTTATGAATGAATTCAAGCGCTGCCTGCGAAGGGAAACGCGAAGTACTAAGTGGGAAGGGGTTTTGGCCAAATCAGGTAGCGAAATGTAGGCTGCGATTTCAGGACCAGAATGGTGGGTAGATTGAGTAGTGCAGTGATGCAGATGTTATAAAGATGTATATAGTTCGGTTTTAAAGAAGATTTTATGGACAAATAATTTAAAAATATTACATTTATATATAAGTAATGTAAGGGCCCCACTAGTGCATAAAATATGTAGATACATTTTCTTAAGAGTGGAAATATAATGTAAAATTAGAAACCATTTTTAGTTATATTTTCCTCAACAAAAATACATCCTTTTTTGTTTAAAAGTAATTATTTATGACAGATTGTTTTAACCACATAAATTTTAATTTAAAAATCTAGATTGAATCGGAAAACCCAATAAAATAAAAATCATAATATGTTTGGTAATAAATTAAAAATTATTGTACATAACTATATAAAGCAAACTTGAACCTCCCATTGCCGCTTTAATGACTCCTCCATTAGCTTTCTCCACGAGTCACTTCCTGGAAGACGCAGCTGGCAGCTCATTACTTAGCCAAAAGATCCACACCTCGGACACGCTCCCAACTCATCGTGGACCGACCCACCGAAAACCCAGCAGCATCGGTAGCCAGATACACCCACTTCCCAGCGGGTTGCGACTCGTAAGCCACAAACCACAAACCGCAAATAAGCCACCGAAACCGCAGGACACGCGTGGACTCATCATTATCATCATTACAGAATCGGAGGGGTGGGGAAAACCGGACACATTGAGCGGCGGAGTAGGAGTCAGGTAGCCCGAATTGCGAGGCATCTAAATCTGAAGCATCTGGGGGAAAACCCGGCGAAAACTCGAGATTTCATTAAGAATTCCCGCGGCGCGCATTAAAGTCTAAACATGCCTAAAAAGTTTCCCCTCTTTTGGCCGATCAATGCCGCCTAAGCATCGCTGATTAGCATTAGCATCCGGTTTCGTTTTGCGGATGGGCCCAGGTAAGAATCCGGATTCTGGACTCCGGACTCCGGAATCCAGATTCCCAATTCCAGAATAAGCGCCGTCTGCTGAATTTCCGCCGCTTATGACCGGAAGATTTTCGCCATGATTACGCTTATGATTAAGCTAATGGCGGATATTTCCCAACCCCTTTCCCGGTAACGCGTGTGTATGTTTTTCTGCAACTAATCTGCTAAATTGTCTGGGCAAAAAGAGCAGAGCACTGAGGGGGGAGGAAAAAAAACGAAATGTGGAGAATATATGCATAATAAGCTCTCGCAACTGTATACAAATCATAAATTTTAATGAGTGGCCACAATAGACTCCCTTATGAGTCCATAACTCCGGAACCACCCCGAAATTCTCTGTAGAAAAACGGTAGGAAAAAAAAAACGAATCGAAGGGAGTGGGGAAAAGTATCTACGGGTTTTGTGGCTACAGGAAACTGCAGTGTGCGAGGGAGAGCGGCTTATGCAGTGCGCCATCGCTGCATCTCTTTCGCCCACTGGCCACGCCCCCCGCTCAGTGCTGCGCAGTCGTTTCTGCGAGTGTATGTGTGAGTCCCCCTTTTCATATTGGCAGAGAAAATGTTGCATATTCATGAGAGAGCAGTCGAGCGTGTGCTCGTGTGCGTGTATCTGTGTATTTGAGCGTATCTGTGTGAGTTGCTTGGAAACGTGTGTGGGTGCGAGTGCGCATATTTGAAAGATTGAAACCGCTTTATCAGCATTTTCCTGCATTTCCTTTCCCTTCCCGGCAAAGAAAAAAAATCGTATTTTTTTTGCCGCTTAAGTCCTTGGTTCAAGTGTCTGATTAGGTGCACTCCCCTGCACTTTAAAATCAATATTATTCTTGGATTACTCACCCAAAAAAGAAAAAAAACGAAAAGAAAAAGGAAAAAATCTGCCCAAAAAGGGCATTGCTAAAATTTAATAATGGGTCAGGAGTAGCCACATGTTCGTGCTCATCTTTTTCCCTCCATGTGCTGTTTAATTTGGACGGCTTTCTCCATTCCAGCTCCTCTTTCCCCTTCGCCCATCGAGTTGGCTCTAACGAAGCGTTGTCAACGGCGGTGTCAACGTTCCGTTGACTGCAGCAAATTGAGCATGGCAAATGGGCGAGACAGCTCCCCAACTTGGGTTTCCACTACCCGAAATTTCAAGCTGCGGCTGTCATTTGAACATGGCGAATGTGTTTGCCAAATTGACAAGTTTTGTGTGGCGAGAACGTGTCTCAAACAAGCGCCCATCAAGGCCTGAAGTTCAAAGAACTCGGATTTGATGAATAAAAACATTTTAAGTAAAGTAATCAAGGGCATGTTTATTAACAACCATATTTACTAATCAAATTTTTTATCTGATTATGGAACCAACTGTAATCAACTGCAAATAATGGACTTCTCTTTCTCTTTAAAATTTAAGTTAAATATTATATAATTTGTTTTATACGATTTATAGGAATAATATTGAATTTGTGTCAAACTTTTTAAATACATTATAAGCACAGAATTGTATAGTTCAAAATTAAAATAGTTTTGATGAGAAGAGTATTTACTGAATAAGATATAAGAAAGGATTACAGCATGCAGTATTAAATAAAATTTTTTAAAGACAGTGCTTGTCGGTTTATTTTATGATTAAGAAATTGTAGCCAATTACCATTAAACCTGTCTTATTATGGACATATGTATGTTGAGCCTTCTTTACAGCGTTCAACTTTCACCGCATTTGTGGAGAAAATGTTAAGTTGCAGTTTTGGGAAACTAAAACAATATTTGGATAGGTCAAATGCAGTGAGATGGCGGCAGATATAGATATAGAAATAGATACGAATGCGAGTGGTCGGATCCGATGGATTCGAGTAGTAGAGCAGTAAGGATAGCGACAGTTGTGTAAAACGGGAATGGAGTGGGCTAAATCGGACAGACAGGCAATGGCAACTACGGAAAAATAACATGAACTGTGCAAAAATGCACAGACGTACTCAGACAGTTACCCACAAAAAACTGCTCACACCCACACGGTCACCCATACAGTCGCAATCACGGCGCCGATGTCGAAGACGAAAATTTGTTAAATCAGCAGCGGCATCCAGAAGCTCGGAAAAAAAGACATCCAAAGAAAGCCAAATAAAATGCGCAAAATGGAGCCGATGGAGCCAGAATCGCCTCATTCGAATTTCAAATGCAGAAGGACTCTCCTGCTCACATCCTGCAAAGGACACGGATAACTGGACACACACATGACGATGATTCATTGCCCATCTCTTCCGAAGGATCGCATGCGAAAAATTATGTTAAAACAATAAAAATATTTGTCAAAATAATGCGATTGCGTTAATAGAGCCAAATATTATTCTTGTATCAATTACCCGGCGAGTGCGGGTTTTAAAGTGGCAAAAAGACAGCACTTCCATGCAAAGCGCTCTGGTTTTTGCACTCGGCCAAAGGAAAATAAAAAATAAAAAATAGTCAGCATACTTTTAAATTATACAAATATAAAACACACAGTTGTTTGTTTTCCCTGTGTCTAATAACCAGACAAACACGCAGACCAGCTCATTCTGCCGCTCACGCACACGCACACACACATACACTTGCCCTTGCCCAAATAAACATATAAAATTTACTTTAAAGCTGACAAAGTCAATAAAAAATATTGTTTCAATAAGCAGAAAAAAAGAAATGAAGTCGGCGAAAAAACGGGAATGCAAGAACAACAAGAGGAAAGGGATAAAGGGGAAAGGGCGGGGAAAGGACTTTTTATATGAGCCTGCAGCTTTATTTGTTTTCTATATATGGGTTAGCAACCCATGGAGTGTTTGCTAATAAGGTGAGAAAAAATAGGCAGAGGATAATAATAACCACTTTTTAATAAATCAAAAAATCCAGGCCACGCATTAAATACCAGATGAGCTTAATTAATACTTTTTTTTTTAATCAAATCATAATTAAAAGATAATTATTGTTGGGTTTAAACTATAATATTATATTAAATAAGTTTCATATTCTTTTATTTAAGAAGCGAAATAGTAAAATGTGGAATAAAATATGTTTTAATTAAATTCTGCTTTTCAGCTTTGCTCAGTGAGTAAACAACAACTAAAAACCTTAAAAAATTTATTTAACTTTTCTGTTTTGTTTAAGAATAGTTTCAAAAGTAAATTACACAATTAACACAATATTATTTATAATCTTTGAGCTTAGCATTTAAAATTGATTGTGTACTCCTTTTAATATAACCAATAATTTTCTTAAAGAGCCTGTAAATGTTAAATTTTTCCTCCCCAAGAAAAGGTTCTTTATAATTTAAGCGCCCGAAGAGCGAATGTTAAAATACTTAATGCCTTGCCCCCAAAGAAAACAACCTTCAAAACGTGGCCCTTAAGTTGGGCATCTTGGCGCAAAACCCATCAAACTGCAAATTAGCAGGCAACTTTTTGCTCTCAGCCCCTTGGAAGGCGAACTTTAAGCTGGAATCGAAAAACTTTGCCCACTAATTTATGCCAACGAAGGCGGGGGGCCCGAAGCCAACCGTTTCCCAGCCCAACTTGCCGCCACCACCACCACCCACTAGTGCTGTTGGCTTTCCCAGGTGCCTCAACTATGTCTCCTCTCGCTCTTATTGCCACAGTATCTTGTATCTTTTGGATGCGAGTGAGCAGGAGAGCGAGAACCTTTTGCCTAGGCCGTATTTTAAGCATTAGTTTGAACAACAAAAACAAGGGGTTGCAAAACGAACGGAGGGGGAGGGGGTGGCTGTGGTAGGTGGAGGGTTGAAAGGACACACACCGGAGCCAACTAACTATTTTCCCCTGAGAAGAATAGGAAAGAAAAAATAGGAAACCATGAATGGCGTCCGCTCTCCGGCGAGATACATTTGTGTGAGTGTACTTCACTTACTGACTGCGAGCGGCAGCCATCGTTGGTTGGCTGCAGATACACTCACCCAGGCACGCACACACAGCGAACACGGCTCACACAGATACTCCCAGCCGAAGATACTTTTTCGGTGCGGGCGTCGCTGTCGACGCCAGCGATTCTGCTCGATGCGAGCTGTGTGTTATTTCAGTTACACAGATTCAGTATCAGACGTGTTACTATACCGAACGGTTCTGCGCTCGCTCTGCGCTCCGATTTCCCCTATCAAACCAGCTAAATATATATATATATATATATCAGTATATATATCTAGATATCGTACTTATGTGCCGCCCGACTTGTTTAAGCAAATATTATCGCTAGAAATAATAAGAAGCCGTAGCAGCAGCGTGGTGAAGTGATTGAGTTGAATTCAAATCGAAATCCGTATCCGAATCGGTTGTAGAAAGTAAAAGAAAATAATTGAGGCGGCAGTGGGAGCATAAATCCGCCGGATTCGCCGACATGCATACGTTATTCAGCGACCAGAACTCCTTTACGCGCCACTATGCCCAAACAGCCGCCGGTTACGGATCGGCATCGGCGGTTGTGGCGGCCAACAGCGCCTCGGCGGCAGCGGCGGCACATTACGCATACGACCAGTACTCCCGCTATCCGTACTCGGCCAGTGCCTACGGCCTGGGCGCCCCGCACCAGAACAAGGAGATCGTGAAGCCGCCGTATTCGTACATCGCCCTGATAGCCATGGCCATCCAGAATGCCTCCGACAAGAAGGTCACCCTGAACGGCATCTACCAGTACATCATGGAGCGGTTTCCCTACTATCGGGACAACAAGCAGGGCTGGCAGAACTCCATCCGCCACAACCTGAGTCTCAACGAGTGCTTCGTGAAGGTGGCCCGCGATGACAAGAAGCCGGGAAAGGGTTCCTACTGGACCCTGGATCCCGACTCGTATAACATGTTCGACAACGGATCGTTCCTGCGGCGGAGGAGGCGCTTCAAGAAGAAGGACGTGATGCGGGAGAAGGAGGAGGCCATCAAGCGGCAGGCCATGATGAACGAGAAGCTGGCCGAGATGAAGCCGCTCAAGCTGATGACGAACGGCATTCTGGAGGCCAAGCACATGGCCGCCCATGCGGCGCACTTCAAGAAGGAGCCGCTGATGGATCTGGGTTGCCTCAGTGGCAAGGATGTGTCCCATGCGGCGATGCTGAACTCCTGCCACGACAGCCTGGCCCAGATGAACCATTTGGCGGGCGGCGGGGTGGAGCATCCCGGCTTCACCGTGGACTCGCTGATGAACGTGTACAACCCGCGCATCCACCACAGCGCCTATCCCTACCACTTGAACGAGGACAACCTGGCCACGGTGGCCAGCAGTCAGATGCACCACGCCCACCACGCCGCCGCCGCCCATCATGCCCAGCAGCTGCAGCGGCATGTGGCGCACGTTGCCCACCCACTGACGCCCGGCGGTCAGGGAGCCGGGGGTCAATCCTCGGGTCACTCGCCCACCACGATCTCAACGCCACATGGACCCGCGCACGGGGGCTGGTACACCCCGGAAACCCCGCCCTCGGAGCCGATACCCAATAATGGCCAGCATGGAACACCCACCCACGCGAACAACAACAATAACAACAACAACAGCAGCTCTGTTTTGAACCACAATGGAGTGGGAAGCGGAGCAGGCGGTGGCGGCGGCGGTGGAGGCGGTGGAGGAGGACCCACTTCGGTGCTGACCAGCAGTCCCAGCTCGGCGCTGGGCTTCCGCGACATGATCTTCGAGCAGAACCAGTCCTGCCAACTGGACACGGGCAGTCCAACCGGAAGCCTGCAGTCCGCCAGTCCGCCCGCTTCCGCTTCCGTTGCGGCGGCTTCGGCGGCAGCGGCGGCGGCGGTGATCAGTAGCCACCACCACCACCATCACCACCATGCGGCACTCAGCGGGAACCTGGGACAACTCGGCCAGCTGAGCAACCTGAGCCACTACCGACCGCATGTGGGCCACTACCAGGAGTACGGCATCAAGTACGGGGTGTAAACGCCTTTCAGCTGGGCTCTCTTGTATATTCCTGTAAATATATATAGCTATACTATATACCGATATACCCAAGAACGAAGCACAGCGATTGGAATGATGAACCCACTTGTATCTTGTATCTCAGATCCCTTTTGTTTTCCATCATTGTTTTCGATTATAATGTATACGAAAGAGAGGAGGATAAATCATGTTTAGTTGTTAAGCCATTAAGCATTATTGTATTAACTGTATCTGTAATTGTAGCCCGTAATTGTTATCGAATTTAGGCTTAGTCCCAATTGTCTGCTATGCGATTTGTGATGAGGTTTTGCTATACACAGAATATAAACATTTACTAGCGCATTTTGTCAATAACACTATCGATCGATCTATCGCCTAGTAAACTAGAATAGCCCACGTAAGCAATAATAAATTATACAAACTAAATCGTAGCTATAATATAATTATCAAAACTAGCGTACCACCAATATGAGCCGAACAAAAAAGTGTATTGAAAATATGTTAAAATATCTCAAATCGTGTGTTTTATTTTCCACCTATTAATGAATTGCCCATTTGCCTTCCCCTCGATTTTACGAACCGGAATGGCCATTCCATCTGGCCATTGGGCGCTGGCAAAACAGACTTTTTAACCCGAAACTGGATAGCACACACGCAGAATTCCTAGATAAACAATTATTCAAACCGTGTCCAGTTCGGCGTCTGAATGGGTGAGTCAACTGGCCAATTGTCATCGGAAGATGGCTTTCTCGGTAGCCGTATCATATCAAATGCTGGCGATCAAGTGGCCGCCGTTCCGATGGATTTGCAAATGGAGTGAAAAGTATCTGGTTGAACGAACGAAATCGAAAACTTTTCATTGGAAAAAGAACTACTATCATTACTAGTTGCAAAGTGGAATAAGTTTTCCTTGACATTTTAATATTCTGAAAAAAATCTATAGCAAAAAACTTTTACTACACAATTTTTGAAATCCCTTTTTAAAACCTGTCCTGCTAAATTAAATCAACTTCTTAATTTTGAACTGGTTGATTTATTAAAACCTTTTTTTAGGTCGACTTAAGATGTAAATAAATGGTTCATTTACTTAAATATTAATTTTTACAATATTATATTTGTTATTGTTCATATTAAATTATAAAAAACTTTTACTTATTATTTTGTCTTAAAAGGCTACTTAAAAAAGAAAATGTTAGCTTTCACTGCGACTTCCCCCGAACAATAACTATCAAATTACAAATCTTTAGTTAAGCAAACTTTGTGCACAGTTTTCCTTGTTCCTGCTCCTAATTGCCAAACAATTGCGGCAAATTGGTAGAAAGTAAAACACCAACCTGCGCAACTTCAACGTATTTTCAGCTTATTAGCCACCGAACCAGTTACCCAACCAAACCGAAGATCGATCGTAAAAGCAAAAAATCGGTAGACGGATAGCAACTGATTGATGGCCCAAAACGCTGCTGATTTTGGCCGATGATGATGATAATGTTGATGATGGGGAGCTTGTCATGGTCTCGTCTTGAGTCTCTGGTTTTAATAAAGGTTGTACAACGACGCCATTGTCACTTGAGTAAGCTCCGCTTGGCGCCACCGCGGCATTGAGATCGCACTCGGAAAAAGTGTGTGCGCCTCTCGATTTGTGGGCTAAACTCCGCTCAGGTGTTTCGCAGCTTGGCCCACGGTCTCTTTTCGGAGGGGGGACAGCTGTTGTTTTCAATGGCGGACACGGCTTGAAAACCTGTCAATAGCCACATCTTTCTGGCCGTAGCCACAACAATCAAATACCTGGCTGGGTGGCATCTGAATGGCGCTCGAGTGCCAGCGAAAAGTGTGCCAAAGACTGTAGGCCTGAAAGTGAGCTTCGATTGGGGTCTACACTGAGCAGCAAATTGAGATTTCTTCCTCCTAGATTTAGAAAAACTAAATTCATAAGCGAAAATAACAGGAAAAATTCAAAAAGTCCTATACAAAATGTTTCATAATGGATAATGTTTTAGATGCATGTAGTAAACAACAAAAATATTGTTTTATTTAAAAAAGTGCACCCAGTAAAGTCAATTTACTTTGGAAATCTTGATTCTGATATCTATTTATTAAAAGAAAATACAAAAATAATTAAACAAAATTCTTTATAACTTAAATACTTATCCAGCAATTGTTTTATTATTACCATAGATTTAAAAATGAAATGACAAGCGGTATACTTTTAAATCCCCGATTTTTTTCCAGTGCCCCTCCTTTAGCTTGATTAAATCAGAATATTTGGTATGCAAATTCAGCACATTCGGAACAAAAATTTTCGGTTGCCGCGTTGAGAACGAAAACGCGAAGCCATCCGGACTCCATTCGGTGTCAAAAGCAACAAAATTAAATGCGAAAACAACAAGAGTCGAGGGAAAAAAGATGAAGGGAAGGGAAGGGATGGATCGTGGATAGTGGTTAGTGGATATGGGTCGGAATAGGGGATATATGTTTGCTTGGAGTGCAGCCGTCGCTGATTGCGCGGGTGGTCCGGAATCCAGAATTTACAATCCAGAATCCTCTGTTCCACAGGCGGAGGACAAGAAAAACAAATGCGATGGCGACAAAATGTTGCACTGTTTGCTTAGCGATAAGGACACACACCCACACACAGAGGGATATGCACACATGGATACGCGCAGGACAACAATGCCAAATGCCCAATAATCAAATCGGGCGAAAGGAAAGTAGGAGTTGGGCCAAGCCACTCACAAATATTGACAGCTGTCTGTGGCTCATCGCGCAACCAGCCCGATTTACATAAATATTATTGCAAGCCTAATTAAATGCAAGTATTAGCCGTCCACCAGCTGCCAAAAGCTGTCAGTATCCTTTCAGTTTTCGCCGCGTTGTGCGTTGTATATGGCAGAATAGATTCCCTGGCTATGACTTGACCCCCGGGAGATCCTTTGTAATTAACACTGCTTATTTTTCGCGCTTTTCCGCTCTGACCCCAAACCACCGGCCGAATGCCCCCTCAATATTTATTTACCTGGCCAGTTGTGTTGATGACCTGTTATCATTGCCCCGTTATAACAATAAATTCAGCGGTTGCCGCTCAACAGCGGTGACAACAACAGGCTCTTTCCAGTGTTGTTGTTCTTGCACGGTTTGCCATTGTTTTGCCAGCTGTCGTTGCAATTAACCAGGCCATAATAGACAATGGCTCTAAAGTAAATTCATATCGCCGGTTTAATATCCACACTCAACACTCAACACTATACACTATACACTTGCAGCAGGTCGGCGAGATGACATTTGTAATTGGGTGTGGGAAAAAGCGCTCGCAAATTAACGAACACAAATTGGTTTGGTTTTTATTACAATGTGAAAAAGCTGAAATCACAATGGGAAAAATATGACAAGAATAAATTCAAGTCTAGCGAAAGAAATTTGTATTCATTTAATAATATTGTTTTGTTACATTTAAGGGTTTTCTATTATTAGAAAACGTATTCCATTTAATCGTTTTTAAATATTCGTATTTGGTTACAATATAAATAGTAATCACAAATAGGATCTTTAAGGAAATAAAAAGTAACTTAATGATATTACAATTCCTGTTTACAGAGACCCCAATAATAGTTCAAAATCTTTATGACTTAATGGTTTCAAGGAAATTGGACTCTCTGATTGATTGCTCTCCGCCGGAATCAATTGAACTTTATAGAAGCTCCTTTTACTCCACGGATCCCTAGAGTAAACTTCCGCTTCCCTTTCAGCCCTTTGGCTCTATAAAGACCATAAAGCTATGGCCGGGTTTTAGTGCCCGGCCGATGTCTGCTAATACACAATAACAACGACAAAAGCAACACAAAAAAAGCAACTGCATTTTTATGGGATTAAACAAACTTTGAGAGCGTATGTTTTCGAACACTTTTGAAGTTTTATTGAGTTATAAATACGCAGAAATGACTTTGGAGTTGGCCAGCGGCGGCCTTAGGCAGCAATTTTCAAATTAAATTTATGATCGATTTATGCAAAAACAAAAATCGCGAACAGCAGCGCCAGGCGTCGACATTTGAGTAAATTATCCATCGAGGGAAAGAAGAAAATCCAAGGGGAGTTGGGCGGCGAGGAGTGCAGAATTTATTGGCCGTCTAGGTTGCCCCACGATCTTGCAACTGGGGGAGTTTTGATTGACTGTTGTGCCTGAAACGCTTTGATCTGCGATCCCTGATGGGTGGATCGATGGATCAGTCGCGTTGAACGGCGACGCCAGCAAATAGAAGCTCAACGAGCCATTAAATGGTATCTACCATCTCGGGTTCATCTCCAACTTGAAATGAGAAATATTGTTTAATCATTTAGGTAATATATTCGATTTTTAGGGTTTTTAACAAACAACATGAGACTTATACAAATTTTTTTACCTGTTATGTGTTAAACATAGAAAATTATTGATTAAAATGTTGTAAAGCTAATATGAGCTCTTTTTTTAAGTTTATGAGAATTGGGATATTGAGATATTTTTAAAAATAGTTGGGTAAAAAAAGTATTTCAAAACTGATTCTTAGATTTACATCATTACTATAATTTTCGTTCCTACGCTGCAAAAAATTAATTCACGTACGTATTTTGCTTAGCAAAAATATAAATAGAATTAGGTTAATGGCATTCCTCGAAGATTTTCTGTAATTTTCGAACTAAAAATGTCTGCAAATGGCCATAAAACGGCTGAGGAGCCAACACTGATCCTCTCCCCTTTCCAAATGGAGTTATCGCCTGGCAGAGTTGATTATCTATGCTGATGCGTGGTTTATTTGGCTTATCAGGCTTTTGGGGCTTTGATGTCACTTCGGATATATCATCATCATTCAGATTCAGATTCCGATTTCGATCCAGATCCAGATCGATGCGATTGGGGGCGATGTTTATGCGTCAGCCGGGCTTCAAATGTTCTTTTTATTCGTGCCTGGGTTTTTGGGCCATTTGATGCTGCCGACGAAGTTGCCAACCAGTTGACGCGACATAAGAAAATAAATAAGATGGGGAATAACGAGAATTGCGAATAGTTTATTAGCTCCTTTTTTTTGCGCACATTCAGCACTATCAAAGTGCCCGGGGCCGACATCGTCTTAGGCCGAAAGTCAAATAATCAAATTCAGCCTCAAATCCGAATCCGCATCACGCGTCCCAGCCAGAAATACTAAAAATCCATTGTTTATTTTCTAATTTCGTTGGCGTGTAAATCACGGAAACGACTTCTTCCCAACAACTCGTTGGCATTCCTCTGGGAATAAGCGGAGAAATATAGCACCCGCCCCTCATTAACCGATTCGATCTGCTGCCTGGCCAGACATTTTGTCGACAATTTCCAGGGAAGTGGCCATAAATCAATTGCAAAAGCTTTCCAATGGCTTTTCCGGAATTTCTTGTAATTATGCTGAGTGAAAACATCGGGATAAAGGCTGTAAGTGACTGCAATGAGGTTATATAATTGGTCTGCTGCATATATTATTTCTTTTTCGCCTGTCTATGGACTATTTTCCATGAATCGAATCATTTACGCCCACGCCCTTCTCCAAATACATGAATGAACGGAGACCATTCAACGAATCGATCGTGGCGTTGGATTTTCCAATTCCAATTCCATTTCGTAACCGAAAACCCCCAACCCCGAAATAGACACACACGTTAAACAATCGGACTGCAAGAGGTGTATTGTTTAAACAATTAACAATAACATAAATGCATGCATAATTACCGCCCGACATCGTGTGTAATTTCAAGAGCTTTCGACGGAAGCCCGCTCCACACGACAGCCGCCAGAGCGTCGTCACAAAACCCAATCGATATCTGCTCAGAGATCAGAGATGATCAATCAACAGATAAATAGTCTATATATATGAAGGAGTTAGTATAATTATTTCACCTTAAAGATATGCTTACTACACATAGTGTTTTATTTAATTACATTTTATAAAAATGATTTTTGAAATTATGTTAAAAATGCCAAATGCCCAAATTATTATATTATTTATATAATATTTATTATAACCATGTTAAATACAACCAAGCTGGCAGCACTGATCCGCACAAAATGATAATACCACAATTGCATTAGAATTGGGCAACAGGTGTACTTGGATCCCGAAGAGGAAGAGGCAGGGCCACTTGACCAGCTGAAAGGCTTAATGATCCGATCTCAAGTGGACCCCGAGACATTGTCAAAAGGTCCCCATGGAAAGGACCCAATTGGGGAGATACCCTCGCTCTTCTTTCCAGTGGCGCCAAGGTGTTTATCGTCGCCAGCGAGCTAAACAAACCGCAGCGACTGAAATCAAAAGGCGGAGGAGTCGGAGGAGTGGATTGCCAGGGAGAAGGAGAAGTGGCTGGATTGCCGTGGAGTGGAGGAGGAGTTTCCGGGAGGGCGAGGCGAGTTCATTGCGCCACGGGCGCACTGCAGATTTATCGCCCACGGAGGTGGTAAATGCGCCGAGCAACGGAGATCTTGGGCTATAAAACAGACACCCGAACTGGACTGTCTAGCGCCAGCTCGTGCTGCGAACTGCAGTCGGATCCGGGTCCGGGTCCATTCCGGGCCTCATCTAATCCGTAATCCCTCACACATGGCAGGCACGGACGATCCAACTGATTGCTGCAGAAATCCACCTCCGCCAGAGGAAAAGGCGTGGCTGTTTGGAATTGACCAAATAACTTCGCCCACAAACAGCTGGTGGTCGCATTCACGAAAAACCACAACAAGATCGTTGGAATATTGCCTTTGAAACAAATATCACTTTCGAAACAGGGATATAATAGATATGAATGGGAAAATCTGGCTAAAATTTGATTTGAAAACTAATAAATGTATTTCATATGCAGAGTTTTTAAGTGCATGATAATTATTATGCAAATATAAAGTACCCCAAAAATATCACGTTTTTTGTATATTTACTAAATTAATTCTGTAAAGATGTTTTATTATTTTTGTGCAATTTTCGTATTAAAATTTAAAGACCTTTACCTGTGAAAAGCGGAAGTCTGGAATCGCTTACGAAATCCAGAGCTGCAATACTCCCAATCCCAATCGATCATCGTCAAGGGCATGTTTTTGTAGACTCTTGTTTACGGAAGCCGGCCCAATCCATTGTTAATGGTATCGTAATAATAATCGCAAGTGGGAGGGAGAGAGCCGGCGATAAACTTGGGCAAAGCAACTCATTTAGAAATGGATTGGCAGATAAATCTTTCGGCCGCAGAATGCAGTTTACATGGAAACCATATGGTGGAGTCCCAAGGAGGTGCTAATTTATGGTTACGACAGCTTTTTGGCGTTCCAATGTCTGGCCAGGCCAATGCAATGGTAAACAAATGCCGAAGATGGGAATTGGGAGCTTAGGGGGCCATAACGGATGGAGAAAGGCCCTCGCGAAAATGCCAAAAACCACCTAGAGATCGGTAAAATATTAGCCACTCATGGCGAATTCTGCATCACTCATTCGGCATTCGGCATATATTGATTGCCTTGTTTGTGTAACCCAGATTATAAAAACAGAAGCCTAATCGTTCATCATTTGGCGTGGCGTTGCTATCTGGCAACTTGGCCAGTTTCAGATCGATTGTTATTAATTTGTTTGCAAACATATTTCATGCGCTTTGCCCAATTTCATTCAGCGGGGTCTCTGCACCTCCCCAATCCCAGCATCCAACATCCCAAAGATAATCCCCGGCCAGCAGATGTATCTGTATCTGTATCTGCGTTTTCTGCTGCACTCATGCTGCGCGTCGAAAAGTCTACGATTTCCGTTCCTCGTATAAATCAACTGGGGGAGAGTGAGAAAAAATCGAAACTCGGAAAAACGCCAGAGCAACAACAAATTTTTCTTCGTTTTTATCTATTTAGGGAAAATTGTGGCTGCCTCTAGTATTTATTTGTGCATAATAAGTTTTTTGAATGATTCCAGAGGTGGTGCGAAAAAGGGCTGAAGGGGTTTCGGCTCTAAATCGTTTCTTTTGGGGCCTTCAACATTTTTAGTTGGACTTTTTTAACATAATAAGTTTAGGAATGGGGATCCCCCTTTGAACGCCACCTCTGCTGCTTTGGGGTTTTGGTATTGTTGCTGTCTGTGGATATCAAAATACCATACAAATCGTCAGCTCGTCATTTTTCAGACAGTTTTCTCTTCGATTTATTATTGGGTTGGCGTTTGTGTGAGGAAGTAAGAGTAAAACAGTTCGTAAGGTTAGTCTGCAGACAAAAAGGAATATTTATTCTGCATTTACTTGAAAGCGAAAAAAGTTTTCAGAAATATAAATTAGAAAACAATAAGAAAATGGTCTCATAGGAAGTTTTCACACCATTGATAGAGGCTCCACCAGCAAGTTTCGGCAATATAAGGTTTTGCCTGGCAGATTTCAATCATCCAGTCGCAGAAGTAGTCCTTATTCATTTTGAAGAGTAGGAACTGCCCAAGAACACTGCTAGCCGTATCGAAACCCGCCTTCGAAAGTTTCGATCCCAGTATTTGGCCAATTCCTGGGATCTCCGTCACAGGCTTGTTGCCAATTTGCTCTGCGATAAAGATGTCCAGTTTCTGGAATGTTCAATAAAACCATGTAGATATGATCGAAGTTCACTAACAACTACTTCTTACCACAACACGCGGCATATCTCTTCTTTTATAAAATATATTGTAGAAAAGCGAAAATTTGTTTGCTTCTTGACGAATTGGCAAATGACAGGTGACTCTGCATTTTCTGTAAACGATATTACAAATGGCTAACTATCGATTAACCCTTTTGGGGCTTATGCCACCTTTGGGGTTGGGGAAGTTAACCAACACTTCGCAGGGTTGACACTTAACGGTATACTAAAATAGATATTTATAATTTGAGGTTAAGTTCAACCTTCTTGTAATTGATAACTAAGCTATTATTATTAAAATTAATATGGTGATTAAGTTAATAAGAAAATGATTCTGAAATTAAATTTATTGCTCAGTTTGTAAGCTAGCCCTTTGCTGGGGAAGCCAACTTGTAGCAGGCACTGTGCCGTCTTGGCCAACCTGCTCCCCCGATCCCATTTTCCCCAGAGACTTGGGGGCGCGCATGTGGGGATTGCTTATTTATGTACATGGTTGTTGGGTGCGTGGTGTACGTGTGTTTGAGAAGCAATTCATTAATGAATTTTAAAATGTTGCTAATCGATCGTTTGCGCCACAATTAATGTCAGCCGGTGGCAATTGGAATGTGTTATGTGAAATTCCAGCCGTTGCGACTTGATTCATTCGACCGGGGAAATAAAATAGAAGAGTGGACCGCCTGTCGAGCCTTCTTTTCTTTTTTTCTTTTTTTTCTGACCTTTTGACTGGCGCATCGAATGGCGGATAAAAAATAAGGATTGGGATAAACCGGTCGGGGATGAAGATGAAGTGCTCAGCATTTTGACCACAATGCAAATTGGGCTAAAGTAGAGCGCACCCAGATATTCTATTTTCTTTGTTCCATATTCGATTCTATTCTTTTCGCTTCGGGTTCTTTTCCTTTTTTTTTTGTATTTTTTTTTCTTTTTGCTTATGGGATGTGAAACACTTGGTGCCGCGCTGTCTGCACGAGCGGCTCTGGCCATTATAACAACAAAAAACACAACAACAACAACAATGGCCAACAATAATTGTAACAACAACAAACACCGACATCCACTGCATATTTGTGCATAGAAAAAAGCCCACCACCAGATGCAAAATGGATATAGCTCACAACAAAAATCAATCCAAAAGAAAATGTACCGAGAAAAAAGAAAGCTCCCAAATATCTACGAATGTTTTATCAAAAAGCTTAAATAGTATCATGTATTAAATTTATACTAAATTCACATTCCTAATATTTCTACTTAAACAACTTTTTACTGCCAAAAAAAAATATATTTTTTAAAGTGCATGCAGATTTTGTCTGAGCTTGTGGCCTGTTTGCTGTTTTTCCACGCCTAGCAGGAAAAGTGTTGAGAAAATTAATAAAACAAATGCCAAAGTCAGCGGCAGACACAGCGACGTCGACGTGAATTGTTGTAATTTTTAACCAGTTTGCTGAGCAAATATTTTATCAACATATTTTCAGAGACAACACGCAAATGTTTGTCTTGAAAATATTTAAATATTTACATTGTGAAAACAACTGCAGCGAGGCGAGCGAGAAGAACGAGTCTACCACGACGAAGACGTTGACAAATATAAAGGCACTGGTCTCCGTCTCCGGGTTTTCTGGGTGGTGCAAGGGTGGTTCCCCCGAGGGAGTGGTATTCCCCCAAAAGTGGGCGTGGCTTTATCAAGATTTTAAATGCACAAAATTCAATTTAAGTTGTCTGTGCAGGATACATAGCTGCTTTTATTTAATGCAAGGATAATATTGATTGATTAAGCTTGAAGCATCAATTTTATGAATTCAAAAAGTGAAATTTAATAAGAGTAAAAATTTTAGAAAATAATTGAAGTACCTTAACTATATATTGATTGACCTGGTTTAAATGTTTACTTCAGTACAATTATAGAAAAGGCAAATATAAGACATTATCTATACAACCAGAGTCATTCATCATATCATTAATCAAATTATGTAGGTACTTATAAAGTTATAATTTCAGCATTAATTGATAAGTATCCGACGAATGGCGGCCACTTGAGCGCGATACTTATCTGGAGCCACAAGTAGCCATCAGCGAGATTATTAAAAACGTATCTGACAGATACTTGCGCTCGCATTGGCGGCCCGGCCATTAATTATGCAGCTGATAAGCAATGAAAACACATCCGAAAATCAACACGAGCGGATGGGTGTGCAGCCAGTATTTGAATTTGTATCTGCAAACGCAGATTAACGAAATTAGTTGAGCGATGCACGGGCAGCTGGCAAGTTGAGAAGTTGGGAAGTTGGGAAGCTGAGAGGCTGGGAAACGTGTCGTCAATGGCGCGCGGCTAAGCAAACAAGGCCCAAAAAAGAAGCTGGTGGTAAAAAGCCGAGCGGAAAGATGCAGTCAAGGCTGATTTGTGGGGAGATCGGGGAGAAGTTGAGGGGGCTTCCCCCCAAGGCAAGCACATGTCAACAGTTCGGAAGATTTCGCAGTCAATTTGACGAGTAACGCCAAGGCATATTAATTGGTAAGCCATTTTGCGGCCCATCCAGGGTTTTAACAAGGTACGCAGACGGGTAACCCTCGACCGCCCTGCAATGAGCAATTTCCTGCTGCCTACACTCACCGTCGAGCCAAGACAATTTGTCCTAAATAAACATTTCATCTCTCTTGAACAGCCACAGCAACCACAGCAAAAACAGCACGGCAGCAACATTGCCAGCGACAGCAGCAACATTTTATGAAAGTGGCGGCCAACGAGGCGGCTTCACTGAGAAAAATTTAAAAAAAACTACAGAAAATAGTGTAACAACATTACATATCAGCCAAATAATTGTTTTGGCTAAAGGACAAATGGATTTCAAACCAACTAATCGAATATAACATTATCTATAAATTAAAATAAAAATCCTTTTATTTGTATAAGACTTTGGAGATGAATTTAGAGAAGTTTTTTATGGCAGTAAAATAATTAATTTTGGTTAGTTTTTACTAATCCATGGACTTAAGCTAATGTTTCGAAGAACAGAGAACTTTATGTTTTACTTTGTAAGATGGTATACTATTTTACAAAATACCTATCTTCTGGTAATAAAAACAAATGGCTTGATAAATCAGCTATGTTTTAGCAGAATAGTTTCCAGATAAACCGTAATGGGTTTTAAAATATTTAAACGTAGTGGTTATAAGATTTTCTCTATCTGTATCGTAGCTGATGGCAATGGTGATGGGTCGAGTAAATTGTCTGCCTGAAATATACCACCGTTTAAAGGCAGACGCCGAGCACTCTCCCTGCAGAGCAGAGCGAGTCCCTTCGCGCACTTCCGCAGCAGCTATATAGCTATATCTCTTCCCCTGTACCATATAGCCGCAGCTATAGCCACTTCCCTTGTAAGTTACCCCGACTGCCGACTCCCGCTCCTGATTCCCCGATCCAGTCGAGCGTCGCTCATTCGCCCGTCGCTATATGCTAAATAAACATTTGGGCACGTCATGGCTTATTGAATTGTCACTTATGCCCGAATTCGAATTTCGAGTTTCAGTTTTTGTTGCCATTGCGCTGCCCTTCTCCTTCTCCTTCCCCTGGAAACCCCCTCGTCCCTCCAACCATCCTTGGCTGCGTTTTGTCGCCCTTTCAATTGGCATTCGTAATGGCGACTATCTGCCTCGTTGCCACAACCACAACCACAACTATATCCATCCATTTCATTTCATCTTCAGTCCAACTGCGACGACTCCTTCGGCGGCTGTGGCCACTAAAGTGCTTCCATTTAATTAGTTTTACTCCCTGGAAATGAAATTTCAGCAGTATGCCGCTTTAAATGCATCCGAAAAGAGCGAAGAGCCGCTTCAAATAATCAATAATCGATTTATGGTGTTTACTCTTCGGCAGAAGCAATGGGAACTGAAATGAAGGATGATATGAGGGCTTATGAGATTCGCAAGGAAAGAAGTTTATAGCAAGCCCTGAATTCCTTTTTAGATACTCCATAGAATTTAAACACCATGTGGGAAGCATGAGTAATTGAAACTATAAGATACAGTATACAAGCTCCCAATTTTAGGATGATATTTACAGAATTTGACGTCACTTCAGTTCATTGATTTAAAATAAAAATTGCAAGTCAATATTTTACGCATTTTTAATAGCAGCAAAATTAATAAAAGCAATGCCACAATAAATCTACTTAGCATACTCATTAATAGTTCCCAAGTTTCAACTTATGATCTCTTTTAAATAAGTAAATCAAGACTTAAGTAATCTAAGTAATCATACAGGCCGCCCCAGACTGAACAACTGCATCTTAACGTCAAGTCTATATTTTGCTAGCAAATTAGCAACCGAAGCCATTAAAAAAGTTAAATCCAACTATCCAAACATTTTCATTTCATAAAAGTTAATTAACCTGAGAGCAACGCACACTCTAGCCGCCCACATATTTACCCAAATGAATCCATTGACTATTTAATTGAAATATTACACAAATCTATGCATCATAAAATTTTAGAACAAATCATTCAATAACAAACAAAAATTGGCAATCAGAGCCGAATGGAAATGGGAATTGAAATGTTTCAGGCTTCATTAAAAAATATGCCCGTGCATGTGCGCGTTGTGTGCACAATTTATCCGCCGGATACATTTCAAATAAATAACAACAATAGACGCACGGACGGACGGTGCGAAAACAATAATACAAAATTGGTAAATTACAAACGAAATTACAATTTCCAATTTCATTTTCATGACTTCCGTTTAATAACAAATAAATCGCATAATCTCTAGAATAATATTATCACAATTAAAATTTCAAATAAATTTTTAGCCAAAGCAGACAAAAATCAAAGCAATTACAAAACTCACTCGCACACACATGTGCACAATGCAATAAAATAAATTAGCACAATCGTTGTAAAAAAAATAAATAGAAAAAGGCGAGGGAAAAACGATTATTGACACAAACACAAAGCCAATAAATGCGGGCTAAAAACGAGAGAGAAGGCAAATCGATTGCGCAAATAAACAATGAAAATTAGCAAAATTATGCAAAATAGATAAAGGCGAAGACAAACCTGACCAGGTTGTGGTGGCTTGTAAAAAATCAGAAATCGCTAACCAAATAAATAGAAGGCGGG